ATCTAATGATGACCGTTTCGTAGATGTGACATCTTGATGCATAGGTTCGCGCATAAGAACAACTATTATGTAGTTTGGCACCCAGATAGCACCACTCATGGTTTCGAGTGGGGTTTGAATATAATATGCGACGTGTATAAATGGGAGAAGCGCAACCATGCAAACAAGGAAGGCGCAGTAAGAAATACATTTAAGGTCACATGCACACATCAACGGTTCATGATGGGTAGCGGGATCGTAAAAAAATGACAAAAAGGAATGACCTACGCAGGATTCGAACCTGCAATCTCTTGATCCGTAGTCAAGCGCCTTACCATTGGGCCAGCAGGCCTTGTTATGGGCAGTTTTATTATTTTGGTAAATAAACCAAAGGTCAATTTTTCTGCACTTGCTCCTACAAGCTTTGGCATGTTCTGTCTGTCAAAGTGCATTAGCCAAGGCAGCAAGTAGCTGGTAAGCTCAAGACAAAGTTCCGACCGATAAATTGAACACTTACTGGGTTTCCACGGCTATGAGTATGTGTTAAGTGTATTCATACTAATGAAGATGAACACTCATTGCGCCATTACCATCTATCTATCTATATATATATACAACTTGGGTTCTACATCCTGCGACCCAGCTATATGTCATGGATGCTGTCAAGTTTCGGGCGCAATTGAAAACCGACTTCACATCATCGCTAGGGAATGAGGCCTGCGACCAACCGGCTTGCAACTATCATCAACACTGCTGGGCTGATTTACGTTGGCTCCGATATACCTCCGATACTTACCGGATGAGCGATAGGTCGATGACACTGTTTCACGTTCCTCCTGGATATATGCATATATTGCAATTATTCCTTCAGAGAGAGCCGTCTAGAGTTTATTCCCTTTGAGCCGATTTTCCATTCTGTCCCACTGTTGCATAGCTCTGATAGTTAGAACCACCCAATCCGTCCGAACCCCTAGCCGACATCAGCGCATGAGGCAGGATTCACTGGCAGGTCGAGAAAAACGAAGCGATGCATTTTCCCGTGGAAAAGATCCGTCTATAAGTAAGTGAGCGACATTCCCAAGCTAGAAGAGATTTGCTGTAGTCGCTGGGCGAGTTCACCACTATACTTGTCTGCGTTTCAAGGGAAATATGATATGCGATTTTATTTCACTGGACTGAAGGAAATGTACGTTAGCTAAAATTCATTTCTAGCGCTGGAGTGAAGGATATGGAGCATTCCTGTTCCTGAATGGTTGTGATTCCACGGTTAGTCCTAAGCTGTCTGCAGACGGTTTACCCAATTGCCCCCTCATGGTTAACGCGGCGAACTGTCGGGGAACACTAGCATTGCAGAGGTCCCCGAATTGCATTGCGCAATGTTCAGTAAGCTGATCGTAAGATAAGCCATTCTGCTCTTTCGGCCAATGAGAAGCCGACCATCGTGCATATTAACGCTGCAGTAGTTAGTTCAAACATAGATAAGGTCCATTGTAATAGCTGAATCGTTTTTAGCAAGTAGCCAATGCAGTTTGCAGCGCTAAGGCATTAGTTTGATATTAGAGAGGGGAATAGAACTCCAGCAGAGTAACCCATGAGGCCTTTGAAGAGGTTGAATTTGTAGTCGATATGGATAACCTCCAGTAGCCCTTCTTCTGTTGTGCACATATTTTCCGCTACTGTTCATATCTACTACTATCTAATCTTCACCTCCGAATAAACATGACGGATGTTGCAGTTTCAGGATGCATAGCATCTTCGCAGATCATGGGCTGACTGGCTAAAGGAGCGATTGTCACTTAAGCGCGCTATCCTTCCCCTTCGCCGACGTTTCCGACAATTTTTTCCTCTCCTGTCCTCTTCAAAAATCTCATTACCGCCGATCAGAAAAAATGGATAAGGCTGTAAAGCACACTTCCCCTTCCTGTGGACCCACAGACCAACTCACCATGTATCATATGTGACATACTATTATACTGTCGTTCCCTGCTAGACTGCCCTACCAACTAAACCACGGATCTAGAACCCGACGCGGAGCATTCGCCATCTTTGATGGTATGCCAGTTACCACTGAATTTGCATGACAGGAGAGTTGAAGCTGTATAAAATATCCCACGAAAAGCATGTCTGTTCGACAGGTACATTACACTCGGGAAGGAAATGTTTGCTTTTTGGAGGGTGGCTGTACTAGATACTAACCAGTAGGCGCGTCAAGACAGCAGCTGCATGTTGACGCAAACATTGGCCTGTTCATTCTCTTTTTCCCATTCCTCCATGCCCATATCAGATTACTACGTTCTTGTGGTTTACAAACCTCCTTTAGAAGTGGATATGCTTATAACTCTTACTATAGGCCGTGACAATTACTTCCCGATGTCGCACCACATACCCCGCAGGTTCTCGGGGACCAAGGCTTATCGGGCATAAGCACGACGTGGACGATCACGGACCACAGGATCTTTTCCTACTCCCCCCGAACTGCAGCTACTCCTGCACGTAGTTGGGATCCACGCTGTCAGACTGAAAGCTTACGTGCGTGTGAGATTCATTTGGGAGATAGCACGACATCAGCCATGTATTCTTTGCCCTCCTTCGGAGCAATCTGCACCGCAGAGGACAAAATCCGCATACTATTGACTATTTTGACATGTACTGAGTGGCCAGCAAAAGGCCAAGCTAGGCTGGTATCATAATATGCAAAACTACAGACAGTACAGTCGGGCGCCTCCAGCTCGTTTTGCTTTTGTCACCTCTTTCTCATTCAGCTACAAGGAAGTAAGCATCCCTGCAAGCTACGCAGGAAGAGGGGTTACTGTGTTGTCACTCAACTGAAAAGGACCCAGAATCCGAGAGCACTCTCCAGTTTCCCATCCTTTTCCTCACACAAGCACAAGATCTTGTTTCTCTTACAATTACTTTGGACACCGGTCCTTCGCCCGAAGAGCCTAAACAGGTCATCCCTACCCAAACCCCCACAAAATAACGAAATGGATACTATGACAATTGCCGAGCCAGCCCCGGAGACTGCAATTTCAGCTGAGGCTGTACAGCCAAGCCTCTCATACTCGGGAGCTCAGGAGAAGAGTGAAGTTTCTGGTGTGGACAGCACTGCTACTCCCACTGAGGCTGAACTTGAAGGTCTCCGGCCAAACCTTATCACTGCCATCGAGGAGCCGGACCTTTCTCGCTTCAGGGAGCTGCTCACTCACAAGGGAGCAATTGAAATTGATCTTAATTATCGATTTCCCGACGAAAGTGAGGACAACACTGGCCTCTCTTTGTTGATCCTGGCATCTGCGCTTGGGAAAGAACCTATTGTGGATTATCTGTTGGATGAAGAACGCATCAACGTTGAACTTGGTGCTTCATATCCAGTTGGGTGGACGGCACTGCATATGGCGGCTTGGGGAGGCCACGAACGAGTTATCAAGAAGCTTCTGACGAAAGTTGCCGACGTTGATTCAACGAACGATTATAGGGAAACGGCACTTCACTGTGCCTGTCAGTATGGTCGCTTAGAAGCGGTTAAGACGCTGATTGATAAGAAGGCTGATGTCAACCGAAAGAACAGACTGGAAGAAACACCTTTGCATTATGCCTGCGACAATGGTCATCTGAAAGTGGCTATAACGCTTATTGAGAAGGGAGCCAATGTCCACTCAAAGTCTGGAAGAGGATATACACCGCTACATTATGCCTGTCGCAGTGGCCATAAGGAGGTGGCCGAGATGCTGATCAAAGAGAAAGCCGAGATTGACGCAGAGTCTGCAACTGGACACACACCACTACATCATGCCTGCTTGAATGATCAGCTCGAAACAGCCAAGATGCTAATTGATAAGGGAGCCGATGTCAATCACCCCACGGAGAATAAATATACGCCATTACACAATGCTTGCTGGGACGGTTATCTTGATGTGGTACAGATGCTCATTGAGAACAAAGCCGATGTGCATTATACTGATGAAGATGGTTGGAATGCCTTGCATTTTGCCTCCATGTTAAAAAATGACAGTGTACTAAGACATCTTCTTTCACTCACCGGGGAATTAAAGCTTGACCGGAATCGTCGAAGCACAACGGGGCAGACACCTCTCATGGTAGCCATCAACTCGGAGTACGAAAGTTGTGCCAACGTCTTATTGAATGGTGGTGGTGTTGACGTTTCTTTGAAGACTGAAAGGGGTGATACAGCACTGGTGTTCGCAGCTCGTAAGGGAAAAGCTCATATCGTGCAGAAGATACTGGAATCAAAGGCGTTCTTCCCCGACAACCTGATTGAGGGGAAAATCTGCCTCTCCTCACCTTATGAACTGGAGCAGTTAGAGCCAGTATTTGTGGAATGGCTTACCAATGGAACAATATGTAGGAACTGGGGCAACAAGGTGATGTGTTGGGCTGTTGTAAATGGGAGTGTGAAGGTCATGAAGAAGTGTGGTGAAAAATTTCCCGATGCGAAGGGAAGCCCCGACGGCAAAACGACCTGGCTACACCTGGCATCCAAGTACGGTCGCCAAGTTCTTATAAAAGATCTTATATGGAACTACAATATTGACGTCACTGCTACTATCGCACAGAAAATGACGGCTTTACATTTGGCGGCACAGGGGGGTCACATCATGACGGTGCAGACCTTGTTACACTATTTCAATGAGAAGTACCCTGGGAACAAGGCCACGGATATCAAAGCTGGAACTCCTCCGTCACAAAGAAAAAACACCTCTCATAGCATGAAGTTGGTTGATTTGATCTTGAGCAAAAACGAGAAAGATGACAACGCAATCACCTTGGCTCGAAAGAGCAACCACCGAGCCATCTGTGACATCCTATGGAAAGAACTCAGTGATCAAATTTCCAACAATGAACTACCGTCTGACAATTCGGCTAGTGCCAAGGAGCATTTGGTTGAGATAGCAGCTCAGTACGGAACTCCTGGCAAAGAAGAGGTTGTTAAGACTATCCTTCAGCACAGCAAGACAACCAAGGAAGACCGGACACACTGGACCACCCTTCATTGGGTTATCGATGAACCCTGCGTGGCGCCTACTTGGTGGTTATTGTCAAACGGAGCTCACCTCAAGAGCAGTGAGATCTCGATGGCTCAAGATTTACTGACGAAGAAATTGAATGATGATCCCACCAGGAAGAATAACCCCAACAGGAAGGATGAGACCACCAGAAAGTTGATCGGAGTACTGCTTGAAAACCCACCAAAGATCAAAAATCCTCCACAGACAGATGATACTTACCACGTACCACAGTTGCCAGAGTGGATTAGTGAACCACTGGAGTCTTTCGGCAGCCAGAGCACCATCGTGGATTTTTATTGCCCGAAAAGCAGCGTCGAGTTTCAGCTCAAGAGACGACCGATGAAGGAACTGATCTATGAAGGCAACAAAGGGCCGAATGGTATCATGAAAGACGTACAAAATGACTTCAATGAGTTGGCCAAATTCAAGGAGCGACTTGATTCTGAGCTTAAGAAGATCGATGGAAACTCCTCGTCAAAAGACCCCACAAAACCCCTTGCCCCAGACCCGGACAGTCGTACAAAGACTAAAAGCCAAGATGTGAAACCAACAGCATCGGTGAAGCAACCAAATAATAAAGCCCCAGGGAAAACCGACCAGCCTTTATCAAAGGAAGGCAATACAAAGAGCAAGGCAGGGGAAGAAGAGAAACAGAGTCCCCAAGATTTCAGATGGATACACGTCCCCGCAACATGTGTGAGTAAACTCCACTATTGTGCCAAAGTATGACTGAGAGCTAATAACCATGTTAATCCAGAGAAAAGTGATTGAGGTTCGTCTTCCTACACCATGTGCTCGTCAGCGCGCTGAGTGCTTACTCGTAATTTGAATTCAGCACCTCATGACGAGGATCGCAATGGATTCCAAGAAAACACAGCAGGATCTGGATAGCATACTTGGCTATCTCAAGCGAAGCTGGATTGAGGTTCCTGCCGGCGGGGGTAGGCGTTATCTTCAACCACAATATCAGGTATGGCGGAACATCACCACGAGTTCAACATTTCTTCTGAACCACTCCATATAAAAGGAAAACGGGAAGTGCTGGTCGAGTAAAAAGGATCAAACCTTGACCAAGAAAGCCACTGCGAGCGACATCCAGCCAGATACTCCGCAAAGCGCTGAAACGGCACAACAGACCAATATGAACCCAGAGAGCCAAGCCAGAATCAGAAATAAGCTGATTTCACTATATGTTAGTTACTAGGAACGGAGACATTTACACAGACTAACACTATCGCCTAGATACCATTTCTCACAGTATCTGAAAGGAACTTTGAACAGAGTCAAACTCAAGACACGGATGAACAGAAAATCGAGAGAAACAGGCAACACAAGGAACACAAGGCAATTCACAGACATGAGCCTATGACACTTCACGAATATTACTACACAACAATAGATGATAGTGTCTTGAGAGACAAAAAACAGGTGCTTCGAGAATACTTGCAGGGGACATCGAACAAGAAAAACGTGAGCAATTCCGACCAAGAGCAGTGTCCGAATATGAAGGATGTGAAGTCCGAACAAGAGCAGTGCTCAAATATGAAAAACGTGAGAAAGTCCGACCAAGAACAGGTCGCGAAGAAGACGAAAGGCAGAGGCCTCTGTCACTGGTTACCATGGGTACAGCGCCCATCGGCCCCCCCAACTAAGGACACACAGGAGAAGAGCTTTATCTATACTGTTGACCAGCTTTGGCTTTGGATTGTTAACGACGGCAAGTGCTAGCAATGCTTTGAAAGTTCAACCCGGGATTGCGCTAATCTGTAATAGACACAATTGTCACCGCCACAACAGGTGGCTCAGACGGATTAGTCGACGCCATATTGGACAATCTGTCTCCTGATTCAACTGGGGAAGGGGTCCAACGCCCTAAGTCCGCCACAGAAATGATGGAACTAATCATTGGTATCGCAACAGATCCCTCATCGCAGAGGGTTCCCATTACGGATGGTAGCCAATCTGTTACAGAGCAAAAAGATGCACTTCAAGTCTTTCAAGAGTCCACGCGTGATGTGGTAAGTATGGGCGTTTAGATCCGACATCTAAGTACTGATCAACGATTGTCAGATTGATATTGAAGCCAGCATATCGGAAAACTTTATGACAGCCGTCAAACAGAACCATTTTCAAAAATTACCGGAACGGGATTTCGGCGAAGAATTTGATCTTCTGTATAAGATCAAAGAAATCCGTGATGAGCTTGGTATTCTCAAAGACATTTCGAATCACCAGGAGATTGTGTGGAATCAGGCATTTCCACCTAAGAACAAGAAAACCCCCTACCCGTTCAAGTATCCGCACCCTCATAAACCGAGTATAGTTCAAAATGAACTGCGAGATATGATGGACGAAGCAAAATCCGCTCAAGATTCTGTTAGTTTCTCCTGGCTTATTGGAGAAGCAAGGCTGACACAGAATACAGATCAACCTGTTTTTGGACCTCAAGGAGAAATATACTGCAAGTCAGGATGCCGCATTTGGACGACAACAGGCCTATACCACTATGGTCTTCACCATTGTGACTATTGTATTCGTGAGTGCCACCAGTGCACCTTGTACCTGTCCACAAGCAAAGTCTGATAATGGTTTTCAGCTTCCACTTACCTTTTTATCTTCCATCTTTGCGCTCGATATCGCCCAATTTCCTCACGGGCCTTCTGGCCGTCCGCAGTTTCAAAGCTGGTGGATCTTTCCTTTGATCTGTATGTTATGTCTTATTGGACTTTCCTGCTTATGCAGTTTGGATTTGTTCTCACTGGATGCAGTTGGACCATCCGCAGCCGTTGCCATCCCATTGATCGTCGTCGCTTTCAATGTAAATGACTTCATTGTTACACCCTACTACAAATGGAAAGTTGGGATGGCCTCTTCCCACGCCGCTTCTGATCCCGGACGCCAACCCTCCAGAGGGTCAGATGATGCCAGTCAAAACGGTCATGAACGGTCCCGCTCTATGTTTCCTAGGAGAACACCGAACAAGCCTGAAGATGATAAAGTGTAAGATGGCTAACAATTATCGGGTCAATACGATGGATATAACGTAACCCACGGTTAAACGGCCCACACGGTTAGGCGGCCCAGCTGGTAATACTATATAAAAGATCCTTTTTGAACATAAGATATCTCAACCATTAAAAGTCGAAGAGACAAGAATTCTGATATATAAGTTTAAAATAGTATAAAGAATCTTTAGCTATGTTCTAAAAATCCTATAAATATATAAAAGATTATCATAATACAATACCTGTATTTTATATGTATTATGTAAAATAAGATCTATTGATATGGATAAAAATCTTAAAATTCTGAAAAATGTATAGGATATATATTTTTATATATATAATCTATCTATAATATTAGAACCACTCAAATACAGTATTCGCTGAGATATAATAGATCTGAAAAGCATATTTTATATGGGATAGTAGGATGGGCCGCCTAACCGTGTGGGCCGTTTAACCGTGGGTTACGTTAGTGGCCTACTTGCTGAAGTCAGTTCCGGATGTTGCTAGAGAATTTGACACATGATTAACGGAACTGCGACTACATCTAGATTTGTGACTGATTATATCTAAAGTTCACGGGCACTGTACAAGGGACTAGAGCTGCTGGTCAGAGTCAACTTATCATTCATTCTCAATGGATGTAATGCATCATGTGATAGCGTGAGACAACCATGGTGCACACCACGGAACCCTATCTGCCATACATAGTTTATTCCCATCCATATCTTTCAAGACCAAATACTAATTTATTTTACGGGTGTATGCTAGGCGACCTCCCGTGAGAGACCACACAAAGACCAAATATTCCCACCGCGATCATGCTAGGCGGCCTTGTTCCATTCCAGTCGCCTTCCCTGTCTGCCCAGCCGTTGACATACTCCATGAAGACTATTTAATTAGCCTAAAAATAAGTATAAAAGTTAAAACTATTTTATCAAACGCTAAAATTAGGAGAGTGGATGGATTTTGGGCAAAAAAGTACGTGTGAAATATTTTCGAAAAAAGAATGACAAGGATGGGATTCGAACCCACGCTCTTTCGAACTGGTGTTTTGGTAAACCTAACTGAGGGGTTGTTAGTCGGTGAAATGCCAAGAAGGTCTGAAAAGGGTCACTAACAACCAGCGCCATAACCACTCGGCCACCTTGCCTCGCTTGCTTATATTTGGCTTGCAAGTATCTTATGACAAACAGACCGCCCTCCTCACCCCGGCCACCCTTCTTGGGGTGCTTTCCCCCCGGGGTCTTTGAGGTTTTGCATCATCCATTTCTTTTAACTATACCAGTGCGAGTAACTCTTCCACGATGTCTACCACAGCCTCAGTGTCGCCACTTGCATTATGGTACAAGTCTGAGTCTACCCTTTGTCCTTGCTTGGCTATGATACTCCCATGAACGGTCACCAATTTCAACGATGGCCAAGCGAACTGGAGAACCTTCCGCGAAATACCAGAAAACGGCTCGCTCGTTTCTTGGACTGGCCGCGCACCCCTCATCCAAGTCAGGAAACGAATGTGTAACCAACTAGTTACAGACGACTACGATTAAGCTACTGACTCATAAATGTGGACCGTTAGTTTTCTGTCCTGTTCTTTTCGATCGTCAAGTAAATGGAAGTCCAACTGGGCAACCCTCAATTCGGGGAACAAACAAAGCATCTTTTGCGCCAGTCAGATCAAGGTAGGCAATGTGCTGTGGTAGTTTCGGTGTGCGACACTAAACCTTCGGTAATCTCGGAAGGGGCTTATTGTACTCTATTTCTAATTCTATCTCCATCCCTTCCCTTCCCATTAAGGGATGAGAGGGGCTGGCTGACCGGCTGTTGGCGAGTCAGTCGGATGGAGGGATGCGTGGCCTTAAATCAGGTAAATGAATTCAAGTTGGTAGTAATGAGTAGTTAGTATCTTTTGAGTTATCTGTTGCTTACTGCTGCACTCTGCAGCATGTCATATCTAAGTTTTCATTCAATCTGTCGGTGCAATCTGGCGTGTCAGACATATCGCACATACATGCGTCAAGCCAAGCAATGATGATTTGGATTGGTTACGTGTTCTTGATGCCGGAGGATTGGTATGCAGATGATAAAGACAAAGGGTGCAGGTCATCTTGCATAAGGATTAGTGGCGACCGACCGTGTGATTGATGCCAAGAATTATCTATGAGCTTGGGCGGTCAAGACCTGGGGATGATTCATCCGATTCCAGGGTTAACTATGGTCCTAGGTGATGGACGAGAATTGTGGTAACGGCGTTAGTTAGCTAGCAACCTACTGCGGCGTAAGGTTTGTTGAGGCGATGGGATTGTTCGTGGTGGTTGGTAACGGGAAGTAGATGGTCGGTCGGGAAGCTCATTGCTTGAGAGCTACAGAGTACACGTTGCTATTACTATAGTAGCATTCCTTGAGTGGCTCGGACGATGAAGTCACCTGGATAGCATACACATCTGTAGTAGGGTTTGAGTCTACGGAGCATTGTATCTTTAGGATTCTCCATCATCTCAGGGGAAGGAATAAAATGTCAATAGAATGAAGTGAGTACCATAACCATTGGCCCGTCAGTTTATGACGTGGCCCGAATTCCAAAACATAGCATTAGATCAATCTATCATTATCTATCCTTTAACATCCCTTTTTGTGAAAACCGCACCCGCATGACACATGTAAACCAAGAAAAAGTATAAATATCGCTTGCAGTCCCAAACATTCCCTAATCGTAGAAATTCAACACCGGCAAGGAGATTAATTACACCGCTCCGATCTAGAAGCGATTAATTAATGTACTTGGGAAGCGTCTTTAAGATGCCGTCCCGAGCAATGTCCTCCATAGCATTGGTGATCTCCTGCATGAAGCGCTTGTCGTTACGCAGATCGTCACCGAACAGACTCGTGATGCTCAGCAGCTCAGAGGGCTTAGTACCACCAGCACGGGCCTTGGCCTGGAGCTCCTCACGCATGGGGTCCTCGACGGCGAAGGTGTTACCCTTGTCATCAACACCATTGATGTAGCGGAACCAAGCAGCAGCGACGAAAGCCAGACGGCGGAGGGGGCCGTTCACCCAGATAGCCTCGGCAATCGAGGGCATGATGAACTGGGGGATCTTGCCGGATGCGTTGAGACAGATACGGGGCAGCTGGTCCATGATGGTGGGGTTGGAGAAACGTTCCATGAGGGTCTTGCAGTACTCATCGATGTTGACACCGGGGATCTCAGGCAAGGACGGTTTGACCTCTTCCTGCATCATCTGCCAGACGAACTTGTTGAAATCCGGGTTTTCCAAGACCTCGTGGACGTAGTTGAAGCCTGCCATCTGACCGGGGTATCCAATGGCGGAGTGACTGCCATTAAGAAGACGGAGCTTGTGCTTCTCGAATTCCTCGACCGCATGCACGTCCTTGACCACTTGAACGCCGACCTTCTCGAAGGGCGGACGACCGTCGGAGAACTGATCCTCAATGACCCACTGCATGAACGGTTCGGTGACGACAGGCCAGGAGTCCTCGATACCCATGGTGTTCGCGAGAGACTCCTTATCGGCGGGAGACGTCTGAGGCGTGATACGGTCGACCATAGCGTTGGGGAAAGCACCTTTATCAGTAATCCATTGAGCGACTTCGGGGTTGCGGAGACGGGCGAAAGACTCGAGCATGTGACGGGTGATGGAACCATTCTTCTGCATGTTATCGCAGGACATGACGGTGAAGGGCATGAGACCTTGCTGGTGACGGCGGGCGAGGGCAGCGTAGAGGAAACCGAAGGTAGTACGGGGGGCCTTTTCGTTGGCGGGGTCCAAGTCGAATTGAATGTCCGGGTGCTCACTCTGAAGCTCGTGGGTGTTCTCGTTGTAGTAGTAACCGCTCTCAGTGATGGTGAGAGACACGATGCGGGTATCCGGGTGTGCCATCTTAGCAATGACGGCTTCGCGATCATCAGGAGCAAAGAGGTAGGAATTGATGCTGCCAATGACATTGGCAAAGCTGCCCTTGGCCGAACGTTCAATGACGGTGTAGAGGTTGTCCTGGGAGCCCAGGGCATCACGCATGGCGGAATCGAAGGGTTGAAGGCCAACACCGCAGATAGCGTAGTCAGTCACGCCATGGTTCTGCATCAGCTGGTCAACGTAGACCGCCAGGTGCGCGCGATGGAAACCGCCCACGCCGACATGGACAATTCCTTCCTTGAGGGCAGGACCGCGCCGGTAAGTCGGGACCTTAACGCGGCCGGCACCTGCCGCCACGATTTGCGACAAATTCGCGGTGTTAAGCTTGAGGGGACCCATTGTGTATGGGAGGATGAAGGAGAAAGGAGAGGAGGAGAGGAAGAAGGAGGAGACGAGGGTAGAAAAAGGGGAGGGAGAGCAAGGGAAGTTATTTCAAAGCTGGCCGGGGAATGAGAAACAAAATGTTGGAGAGCTTCTGGAGCTTTGCAGGGTCACCGCCGGTTTTGACCGCCGATCGCTCTGATCGCCGCCGAGTCTGCCGGGAATAGTATTACATCATGCGGTGGCGTTGTAAACTTCCAATAGCCTCGAATAGATGGGTTATGGACCGGTAGCCTTGCTTTTTCGGACCGGTGCTGTCCAAGCAAGCCGCGGACTGGATCCATGGTGGATCGGGGGGGTGTGGCCCCAGTTGGATGGAGCACAAAGAAGGAGGGAGGAGTCGACGAGCAATTGGCTCCATTCCGACCCATTGGAAGATGAACCGCGGTGGCGGGAATTCCAATGAAGCTCCAGAATAATAAAAATTCAAATGGTCGGCGCGTGGGGGAGGAGAAGACACAGTAGCAACATTGAACAACAATACGCAGTAGATAGAATCATGATGCAGGTGAGCCAAAGCAGATTAACCAGATCTACTCTTTCGGTCGCGCCGCACACGCGGGCTGCCGGCATCACCGGACACGCTCTCGGACGAACCTTAATCCCTGCACATTTTTAATTTAATCAAGCAAGTCCACTTGTACAAAGTAGATAGCTAGATAGCTGCGGAGTACAGTGAGTATTACTGTACTGTATGTCGGACCAAGTGAATAAGGGCTATGAAGCAGAACAATTCTAGACCATCAGGTGATCGGTCGGCAGCCGCGGGATGCTCCAGGATTTCTCAGCCCCTGACCAGTCCAATTTCAATCCCGACCAAGATGCATAACGTACTTTGTCCGGGGTCAGCTTTTAGTGCGGGTGGCCATCAGAGATTTTTTTTTTCTTTTTTCCTTAGGTCTTGGGAGATTTTCTGATACTTCATATCTCACCTTGCCCTTTTGATACCGAACATGTGCCACCTGACTGCATCACCTGACCCCCTTTAATTGCCCCAACCCTCCATGATCTGGCTGATCGGGCTGTTCTGGCTTATTCTGCCTGTTCTGGCCCCTCGAGGACCTGGTCGGTTTTGTTTCAATGACTCTCGGTGAGCTTGGAAATATTCCTCTTCTTCTCTGAGGTGTACAAAGTACAAGGACTGCGGTGGAAATGAGCCAACATACCCAGCTCAACGTCTTCCCTACTGTTACTTTTAGTCCCGCTCATATTACTCATTGAGGAAGCGATTATTTACGAAGCTCCTGTTGAACCAGGCATTATCAGGCATCACCAGGCATCCAACCTTATTAAAACTCCGAAATTCAATTGAAGAGGGTGTCAGGTGACTGACTATCCCTACACAATTATTAATAGAAAAATCTTTGATCCTTTTGCCCACCTGCTTGAAAGAGTAGCTGACACGAAAAGCTATGGAGTAGACCGATAACCCCTAAACAGTATCGGCCGACTTCAACCCCGCGGAGTTTCCCCTAACCCCGTCGGAGCTGTAAGCCCACATCCAAGGGGAAAGTCATTGCGGAAAACGTGGGGTGTCCACGATAGTCCCAACTCTGGTTCTTATCATAGAGATCTTCAAGACCCACCACCACAAGTCAAACACAAAAACGGAATTTATAACAAGATTATTAACTATCACGATTGACAACTGAAGAACTTCGCTGATCACTTCAGCCAATCACATACTTTGGCAGATGACAAGTAGCTTGTCTGTGGTTATGAGGGGGTAAACTTGGTGCTTATTGATGGATGCTTATAATGTTTGTCGGCATCTCAAGGTCCTCATCCGATTAGTCTTGTGGCAATTCATCTATACTGTTCACTAGCATCATACGCTTGTCCTGCAGAAGGAACACAAGACTACGAGTCTGTCTACTATCGTTGTTCATCCCACATCAGATGGATGTGCTTCTTAAATGACATTTTGATTTCCACTTCTATAGTAGCGGCAAATCCGATAATCTTCAGCATCATCAATTACTAAAGTGCAAAGGTTTTGTAAATCACCAACCTTCGCTTTAGCTGTGGCAATGACCAACAATGACAAGGCCACTATGTCACAATGCTGCCTCTTTGGAAATGCCTATAAAGACCGTTGGTACTCCGTACTTTGGGGTTGTATCAGTGGGCCCCAGCATTCCGTCAGTCCCCCAATATCGCAAAAAATTCCTACTTTGGCACAGTGCGAAACAAAGCGCTAGCGTTATCAGCGGATCTCTGAATTCTGCCAGCCCACTGCTTCTGTGATCGCAAAATATTCCTTCTTTGTCCTTTGTACTCCGCAGGGGCTGCGCGGGGCGCAGTGAATCCTGTGTTATCCCCTTGTTGCTTTTATCATTTCGTTGACAGATTTATTCAAGTACAAACAGTTGGCTGATAGAGATGTTCGATAATAGGTCAAGTGCGCGATTTTGATGGGGTACAAACGGGGCAGAAAGCTGCAGGCGGTGAAATTGCCGATCAATGAGATAGGCGGAGGCAAGATTCGGCCCATATAAGTAGTATCCATCCTCTACAAAAGACACCTCCACACCCCCGGCATCCGCTTACGCCACTTTTTGCCACACTTCGCCTCACAGGGCAGCAGGAAGACTTTTCTGAGAGATTCTAGAGAAGCATGGTGTATATGAAATCATCATGATATTTACTCAACCTTTCCACAGCATTCGAGAAAGACTTCTTCCCCACGACGCCCTTTTTGCAGCCTCAGGCACATAAAAGACGTACGTCTTAGACATCACGTGGTGCTGAACGTTAAAGCCTCAGGCACCAAACATACAGAGGTCATCAAATGAAGCTCGTGTTTGGTGAAGCAGAGCGAAGGGTGCTGCTGTATAATCTCTTAAAAATCAGAACTTAGTGCCTAGTAGTCAGCTTATATATCTGTACGCCGATACCCTGAATACTACTTGAATCATATCAATACCTCAGGCATGCATAGACTGCCAATGGGATAGTTAAATAGTCTACTCAATGCCAAAACCACACTTCCCATGAGAGATGAGCCTAGCTGTTATTCATTTGTCTATTGTCAAGTCCTAACATATTCATTTAAATGATCTGCAGTCGTGCGATACGAATAATGTCTCCCTCTGTTCCTGTTGTGAGAATATATTTTCCTGGACAGGTACACTATCCAGGCTCTACCACTATATACAAAGCATAATCAGTATGTGTAGAGTTGAAAGAACTGAGGGGTTCAATCACGTTTCTCGTACTGACAAAGAACAGACATGCAGAGATGATTTAGTAGTTGAGTTCGAAATAGAGCATGTACCAAGTAGTATTACTGAATATATATATATATGCAGTATATTATTTCCACTCTGATATTATTATTATATATGACACCAGACATATTATACCAAGAAAAAGCTTTCGCGAATATTCAAAGATGTTTGGCTATAACAGGTTGTATCTCAGTGGTGTTCTATAGCTCACAAGGCAAATTTTGTCTGCAACCAAAGAAGTGTGACCTTTCGATGATGTAATAGCAACTGCTAGATCATTATTACTACTGCCGAGTTGTAAGTACTTATTGAAGTATCTTGAATTAAAGCTATTACATTACACAAAAGAAACCGAGGCGACGTCCATGCATTACGAATGCTCTCTAAGATGTGATCTCATTCAATACAAGTATCCAAGAAACAGAGATTACTAGAAGCACATATAATTGAGACTAAACTAAAGTGACAATTCCTCATAAGAAATCGCACCATAAACTACTCTAAAGCAATCTTTATCTAAACAAAAAATCGATTCCAATCGACACTGGCACAGCCCAACAAGACACTTTTCTCGGGAAAGAGCAAAATCTGGAGTTGAGCTTGCTTCATATTATTCCTGAGTCGAGTATGTCAGTCACCGAGACTGAAACCGTATATTAGACAAGGGACGTGAGCCCGCTTAGTCGCTGTAGCCGGAGCCAGAGCCAGAGCCGTCACCGATGGCGACACACTGTACGAAAACAGCCACGTTAGTCTTGAACAGTCACCTTCGAGATGGAAGAGAGGAACATGTTTGGGAAGGAAAGGAATATGAGAACAAACGTACCTGAGCACCCTGACCGGGGCAGCAAGCAATGACGTTCTCGCAGACAGGTCCATCGGGGGTATCCTTGACGAGGGCTGTTACATGCGTTCATAAATGTCAGTGATGCATCTTCCAAGGCTAAGGTTGGATTTGGATGTAAAGGATCAGTCATACCCAGAATACCAAGCTCATCAATGAGGCTGACCGGAGCGCAAGCGCTTCCCTGACCGTTGACCAGACTGCCGACGACACCCCACTCGAGTAGGTTGTTGAGGAAGCCATCAGTCTTGTCGACGTTGGTTGGGTTGCAGCAAGACACGTTGCCAATATCGCACTTGCCCTCAGTCTGTTGCTTGATGGCCTGGGAATCAGCGACAGCGCCAGCAGAAACGCCGGTGGCCACCGCGAGGGCGAAGGCAAGAACTTTGGTGAGAGTGAACTGCATTTTGGCTTGGTGATTGAAGAAATCGGAATTGAAAGAGAACTGTGAGGAAGGCTTGATGTGATGACTTGGAGTGATGGATGATTGATGGATGGATGAGAGACTGACTTGACCGGGATACTGGGACCCTTTTATAACCGTTGACAGAGGTCTCTGGATCACAATTGCGAGGAAGAGAGGTCGATCCAACAATGCAACGTTCCTGAAGCCTGGTCTGTTCTCGTTCTCTTCTCCCAGGGAGAACCTAGACCTCCATTCCAAACCTCCTTCGGTTGGAATAGATTCATCTGCTCCCTTCGGCTCTGGTGGAGATATGTTACAAGGGGTCCTCGTTGCTGTGTGCAAAGTAGGTCCTCGACCGAAAACGGTTACTCCTAGTTTGGGAAGACTTCATTCTTTCTCCATGCTCTGAGATTCTCCATGAGAACTTGATTCTGATGACGAAGACTCCAGGGATGGATAGTGGAGCGTTCGAGTAAAGACAGGAACGATGTGACTCAGGTATGGATGTAAAAGGCCCCTGAATGTTACCGGGCTTCTGAAATGGGCCTGAGACAGTATGTTCTAGGTCTATTCAGGCTAGATGTTGGTGGCTATTTTCTCATGAGTTCGGAAAATGGTATGGATAATCAACGTAGCCTCATCCCGCGGAGAAACGAGGACTAGAGTGATAGTCGAGCGTTGTCTTGCATTCATTTCTGTTCTCAATTGTGGAGAGACAAGAGAAAGTTTACGATAAATGTAAGCATGCTACATTTCGTACGTGGGTTATTTCGTACGTGGTGCAGGAAATCCAATGTGGAGTAGAATACTCCGATGGCAGGAGGAAGAATAGCCAAGATGTTGAGTTGATCCCAGTAACCTGCCAACCCTCCACCAGCACATTTCTTGTGCTGCACACCCACAAGAGCTAAGTTTGAGCCACAGTGGCGATCTATTAGATTGGCCTTACTGAAGCGAAGGATCGCAGGGGGTGGTAGCTGCGGGCAGGCATGCAATGGGGCCAAGTATTTGAGATAGGATCTGGCGAGCCATGACAGCAAAGATATGAGCACAGGCAATCTTGACATCGAGACACTTGTGGAGCTGGGACTATGACCTCCTCTGGCACTCAAGGGGGAACGCAACCGTAAGCCCTAACTGGCAGGAGCCCGATAGACCTTGGGGGTATTTTGGCAGTTGCCTATTACGGATGGAAAGAAGAGTGGACCAATGATAGTGGCTGTGGGCTTGGGGAAACTTTAGACGGGCCGATCTGGCCAATAGGAATCTTGGAGTTCGTGACGTATAGAGTTTTACGTCGTTTTCCCACAGTACCGTTTCCAAACCTCGTTTGACGAAGTTCATCGTAACCGCCTTAGACTCAGAGCATTAAAGATGCTAATAATGAGTAAAGTCTATCTCATCACGATTGAGTCATATATATTGACGTTTGGACAAGGTTCGATTTCGCTGCTGTCATTGTTGGGAAGGCCCATCCCTTCCCTCGATTTGAAACTGACACGTTCCGTACTCGGCCGGCGGATAACGGCCGGCTTACACCATACGGTAAGAACGGTAACATGAAATTTACAAGATGGTAACATTACAACAGAAATGGCATTCTTGTAACCCTTACACTTGTTTACAGTATCATATCTCCACTGCTTGGAAGGCCACTGCACGATTCTAAGTGGCCCCCACGCTCAAATGTAGAACATGGTATCCCTGACATTTTCATGCAAAGATAGTTGCAGCTGATCCGGAGATAACACGTACCCAGTGTCCCGGGAGGATCGACGAAGCAACTCTTCCACATAGAACCGCGCTCGGAAGCAAGCAAGATCGGCGTAGAACACAGGTGGGCAGATGCTGGATGCCCTCGTTGCGCGGCCAGAGACGTAGCATATATTGTGGGTCAAGGCTTGGATGGAATTCACCGGATTAGGAGAGGCTCTAAATTGCAGATCGTTGGGAGAGGGCTGGAAAATTTCGTCGAGCAGCACAACATAGTGTGCAGGGCGAGCAGTTCCTCGACTGGCAGTATGAGACTGTAAGTAAAAGTCCCAGACCTTACTGCTACTGGCTGGGCCGTGATCAACGATGGTGCCGTTGGGAGGATTAGTGTCTTGAAATGACCGGCCATTGCGCTGACCTGTCCTCGTGGGCGTGAAAAATCGGGTGTGGTGTCGTTTTCCCACAATGACAATGGTGACTCGAGGCTCATCAAGACCCAGACTACTGTATAAGTCTCTGCATGCTTTGCGTAGCTGAGGGAGCTCCACGCTGAGGACACTCCCATATTGTGTATCTGAAACGCCATCGCGGTATAGCAGGATGTTTTCAGGGAGCTTTCCATGGTTCCGCCTCTGCCATGCATGCAGCCTTGAGGTGAGAAGTGCACCAAGCTGCGTGACCAGCTCCTGACGGGCGGGTTGAGTGCATATCTCTGCTGGCCATTGCGCCAAGTAGCGATCCACAGAGGCTACCATGGCGGCCACGCTGGGAGCCCGTGCTGGAAGGTTCCCTGAATTTGGATGCGTTACATCAACCCCAATTACCATAGTTTTGCCGTCACTTATTATGTCAAGGCTTGGAGAAAGCAACTTCTGATTAATCCCTCCAAGCTTTAAGTTGAGCTTCAGAGCAACATTCGACAGGAATTGATCATTTGATCGAAGGAACTTGTCCGCCACCACGCACACGTTCCTGATTCCAAATTGGACATCGCAAAGAAACTTGATCCTGCTGTACAGACCTTCTGCAGCTTGTGGGAGGATAATCAGTAGGAATGACATTGTTGACTCGACTATGGCCGCGAGAGCATGGGCTAGCTTGTCAGCGTCACTTTCGCGTCGTAAAGCACTATCAGTCACGCTGACATTGATACCCGGACAACTAGGCTCAGGAATAATGAGGCCGAGTGACTTCAGATGTGTGCGGAACTTTCGTATAGCGACTTCAATGAGAGCTCTTTCTGGACCTATACCATGGGCGCGACCGGGCGTCGAAAGCCATAAATAGGTCCACTGGGAGACTGACGTGCTCCCGGCAAACCTCATCCCACGTAGATTCCAGCCTCCTGCGCGCACAGAGGCTCGCTGTCCCTGACGATATTCTAAAGCAGGGGAGTCTAAAACGCGACCAGACACTCTCGCCATGCTCGGTGCAACAGTAATCCCGAATGAAGTCTAAGTAATACATAATAGAAAGCTTGAGTTAGTGCTGGTCATTAACCTTGTCAGGTCATTCAAACTTCCAACTTACCAAGTTCGCTCCTCTATTGGGGTGAGACATGCCCAAGATATCTGAGAGCTCTGTCTCTATTGAGGTGATCTGAGAAGCCAAAGTGCTTCTGGTCCCGCGACGAGCTGTATCGATACGGGCGCCTTGACGGGACTGAGAGGCGGCTATAGATGTAGCCACAGACTGACCAGGAAGCACCCGACAGACTTGAGCAGGCAAATAGGAAGGATTTGAGGGGGTCCCAACGTTGACAACGGGAAGCCATGGATCGTTTACAGTAATATTATAGACTATGAGATAAATCAGTCGGAACCCAAGCTAGTGACGGCGGGAATAATAATTTTACCTGACCGAAAGTATTCAAAAATAGTGATATACCCTTCAGGCGAAGGTCGCTTTCTTTTCCGGCTTCCCAGAACCGTTACTTCCCCTACCTCGTGGCCCTGTGAGCGTAATTCGCGGAAGAACTGGACCTCCTTAGCTCCTGCCCCGAGGCATGGCACCTTAGGGGGATATGCCAGACTGTAACCATCTCCTGGTGCTGCCAAACCTACTACTGTCTTGAGCCGCGGCGCGAATTTTCCAGCACGTTTGCGCATACCCAGGTGCGTAAGCTGGACGCGGAGATTCCGAAGCAGTGCAACAACTTTATTCATGTCTGGTCCGTTTTGGCGCATGTGCATCAAGATAATTTTGTCGAGCGAGCAGTCATCGTAGCAGATTGCAATTTTTGGCGCTGCATTGACAAACAACCGGCCCTGCGCTTCACGAGCGACGATGAAAAGTCCCCGGAGAATATGTAGCCCTGCACCCAGGCTCATCCGCGAGTCGAGGTTGAGATAAGTTCCCGTACCGGCAGATCTGATGTGTGGTGAGAACTTAGGTTGGTGTCCCAGAATGATATTCAACGCATGGATATGCGCTTCGGTCAGCGGCGGCCCTTGGTCCCTCGTATCACCCTTGAGCATCTGATAGATTCGGGGAAACTGAAGAATTCCAGCTGGTATTAGAGTGACTTGATAGCAATCATGCTGATATACCACGTTATAGGGACCGCCACAGCAGGGTAAAATGCGACTTGAGATGAGGTTCTGGTAGCCATCGGAGGCAATGCTCTCTTGGAACCGCACAAGCTCCGTCTTGAGAAGCTGGAGGATTACCTGGGTCACTACTTGTCTGCTCACAATCATGACCGCATCTGGCTCTGATCGTGAAACGCGCACTTCATACCGGTGTAATTGGAGATCAGGCTGGAGGTTCATCTGAAAATAATTTGCATAAAGATTGATTGGGTGACCCAGAGTACCATACCCAGGCCTTTTGGATGGCCTGACGCAATTGTCAGTCATTATATCACGATGACTGCTGCTATAAAAAGAGCAGTCAAACTTCGTCTTCTGCTACTATATAGGTAAGAAACAGTGCCAAACTGCTAGTCGGTTAAGATCGTTCAGGAACACCCTGAAATGGCGGCTTTCTCACCCAACTGAAGGACATATCCAAGGCACCAAGGGGCAACGATTCCTCCTGAAATCAATGACATTAGTCTCGGTATGCTATGCCTGAGAAGTGTCTACCAGTAAGTAAAGAAAAAAAAAAAAAAAAAAAAAAAAAAAAAAAAAAAAAACCACGTCCGGGTCCTATTAACCACTGCAACCAAACCGTGACAGCCGGCACAATCCCTACGTTGAAAATTACATCGTATTATAAATACAGACCATTGTGGTAAGGTATGTAAGATATGTAAGGTCGTATGATCCGTGGCGGCATTACATACGCCACCATCGATAGCCCTGATGCGGCTTAGCTCACTAGCGATCTGTTTCCTGATCTGAACAAGATGCGAGTCATTTGGGGAGTGAGACATTGCTGCATGCAGCTAAGATCGATTCTGGGAAGCGAATACAAAATTAGGGCTGGAAATATGGGCTAGAACGTTTTTGAATGTACCCCCCCCAAGGACGCAGAGGTCAGTGCGCAGTAGTATGGCAGTCTAACTTGGTCAAAGATACCCCTTCAGTCTGTTTGTCATGCTTTTGAATCCCCCTGTAATGCAAGCCAATCTAACATCCCAGTTGAGATTCCCTACTTGCGTGAAAAAACGCGCAAAATGCTGTCAAACCCCCAAAATTCATCCCTTTTGACTTGTTCAGATACTCAATAGGTATTGCCAATTTATCTCATGACCTATTCCGACATCGTTGGGATAATAGAAAGCACTATATGGAGACTGGCTATCGGAGGATCCCGGACTTGCGAGAGCAACGAAGTTAGGCTGCCGTTTCTGCTGGACGAAAGTTCGCAGCAAGGTCGCGCAGACGTGAAGTGCTCGACACGGGACTTTGTAGAGCAGTCTGAATCTGAAACCATGGATTGGGGTACAAGATCGTGGTATGAAATTTACTTGTGGTTTTCTTCGAGGTATACAGAGGGGCTTCCTTTCTGGACCCTCAAAGGCGTACTAAATCTATCGGTACACCGAGCAAGCTACAATCCTGTTGAAGTTGTATGCGAAACGGACGAAACCCTTTCTTTTTACTAAGCTAAGCTAAACTCTAGTCTAAAAAGACACAAAATCCAAAAGTACATGGGCCGACCAAGGACTTGGATGCCTGGGCCATTAACACGAAATCAATTAGCAGATGGAGCTGATATGAAAGCTCCACGAAGCTTGATCCCAAGCAAATTGATGCCGTTGAACCTGCGTCATCTGCACGAGGCCAGTGGGGCTGATTAAGCATCCCTCTAGTATCCGTCAAGGGCTGCGCACTTTTGATGTAAGATTCCAAGTCAGCAAGCTTTTACTTTCTAACAGAGGTCATAGTAACTGATGATGGACTTACGCTTCCGTTGGGGCAGCAGGCGATGGTGTTTTTGCAGTAGGACTTATCGTCATCCTGTCCCTCTTCGAAAAAGGCTAAGGATTGTTAGTTTGTTCTTTGTTGTCTCTCTTGAAATTTGATCAAGCCTTACCAAGCAGGTTGAGATTCCCAATGAGCGAAGTGGGAGCACAGGCAGATCCCTTGCCATTGACGAGACTTCCAATAAGAAGACCCTCCTCGAGTGCATTGTTCAGAAGACCGTCAGTGTCCTCACTGTTGCTGGGATTGCAGCAGTAGATGTCCCCAATCGAGCATTGGCCGGAAGCGTCGTCGATGGACAGCTTCTTCTGGCTTCCCTTAGCGGCCGGGATAGCAACGGCAGTCATGGCGAAGCCAAGGATAGCAGCGACAGCGAACTTCATTTTGAAAGGTAGTTGGAAGATTGAACGAGTGTTCTTGTATAGAAACGAGTGTTCAGAGAGAGAGACAGAGAAGGATTGCTTTGATGAGCGAGTGAATGGTTGATGATGAATGATAATTTTAGCAGGGGATTTCGACGAGATTTATAGCTTGAGGTGGAGACTACTCTCTCTCATTCTCCTTCTATGTTTAGTACTTGGATTGCTGCGAGCCCCTACGAAATTCTCGAGTTATGGGTCAATGTGACTGAGACAAATCTCATTCTCGCTCTCCCATACCAGATAACGACGATCATCTGAACCTCGATGTCTTCACAGAATTGTGTCTTGAACTATGACCCTCTCAAGGATATGAAGATAGGTCTACGATGATTGGAACGGGAATGTACGCGTGTGCCTGGACGCAAACAGCTGATATTTTGACTTGGCGGATGAATAACTAGAAAGATTCCTTGCTCAGCGTGGATCAAGGAGTATCAATGTAACCAGTTCATGACTCTGATTGCATCCCTTGTATCGTACCAGTGTAGTATATGGGTCTGTTGAACGAGACTTTGATAGGTTGGCAAAGTACCCTTTGTCTACACTTCACCTGCTTTCGTTAGAGATATTTTTTTTCTTAGCCCAGCTGTGGGGAAGCGAAGGCTAGAATGGTACCTTGCAGTCCTCCCACCCGCAGTGCATGTATGTGCTTGGCACGTTTGCATGAGCTTCATCCATGCTTTCTGTACAGAAGCTTGTTGGTGGCAAGTGAATCCACTCCAGCCTATGGTAACAATTCAAGTCGAGCCGGGAATATCAAGGAATCAGGTTTCATTGAGCCTAATTCCGTATGTTTCGGGGTTACGTCGCACTATCAGTCAAACTCCCTTCATTGTTGGGTCTCAGCCACCGTTCCGGTGAGTTTCTGTAAACTATCCTCAAGGTTTGCCTCCCTAAGTCCTATACAGGGACTAGACAGTATCTAGATTGCCCCTTCGCCAAGATTGATTGCTAAAAATGCTAGGCGATACTAAGATTTTTTGGTGTCTGTAGACAAGAGGTACTGGATCTCAGCAAACCATCTCATATGACCCTTAGCAAGGCAACAATTTGCCTGCCCTGAAAATTGTCAGACACTCGATTAGCCTTTGAGAATTTGTCTAATGATGTCTCTCGAAATTCCAAATTGCCCTGGGGTATTCACTGTGCACCCCTTGGAAGCAAGAGAGTCAGTTCGCATTCGTGTTAGTTTACTTCACGACTACGGACTACCGTCTGAAAGCGGGCAAGGAATGCGAAGTCTTGGAGCCTGCGAGGTACCAGGGGCGCAGTAGGGCAAGTAATTAAGCACTTCGAGAGATATATAAACCAAGCACCCTCGAGTTTCGATCTCTCTTTTCTTTTCTTCCCCAGAGCTTCGCTTGGCTGCGAGTTGTAGTTTGGTTTCCGGCTCCATCTACCACGTCTCTTCTCTTCGTCTCATCCACGAAGCCACGGCGAAGTATACATGTTTTGCGCTTGGCAAACGGGTATACTTCATTGTGACTTTGTGGCCGGGTTGTAGGGGAAGATGATTTCGGGGCTGGATAATACCTACGGTAACTGTAGCACAGGGAAGCTCATGATGCTGAGCTTTCTGTGTTATCAGGGACCTATAATTATGGGAAAAGCTAGACCTTGACGTTTATCGTGGGATTATCCATAGCTAGTCATGAAGAAATTATAGTAGATTACAATGACAACGAACACAATGCTTCTTAACATCACCTCTTCACCTAGAAAGCTTCATTGGAGCTCTTGTACTCACTCACACAATCTTAATCTGCTCATACAATTACCAAAGTATATGTGTGAGATTTCAACAGCATAAGTCCGCGAAATCCTAGAGCATGCTACGTGCAGGTCGATATACCCGTAATATTAGGCAGTATATTGCATATTATTATCTAGTGTATGGCTATTACACACGTTTGGTTGCGATATATACATTGTAGTATTCAGATCTCTAATCACCTATAGTAAATTTGAGGAGCAATATATCAAACATAGCTAGCTTGTGCTGAGATTGTAGTACTATATGTAGTGGAATACATACTAGGAAGGGGTTTATATATATATATTTATATAAATATCTCTGCACAAATAGTAGTTGTGTTCCGTCGTTAGATTATGGTGATTTGGACAGAAGAGGCCAATAATGACAGAAGCTACTTGATATCGATCAAAATCAGACAATAATCAAATATAAAGAGCATTTATGATTCAAAAAACTATTTGGGTCAACTGTAAGACTATAGGGTAGAGTAGGAAGAACATGAAGGCTATAAGTTGATGAATATGATCATTAGTCACAAATGCTACGGCAATTGATATGGCTTAATGGACGCAAGTGGTACAGTTTACCCTGCAGGTACTAATATAAGCTATCATTTATGTCTATAATAATGGGGTTCCATCACAGTGATCTAGTAATCACAGGGCAGTAGTATATCCGATAACTGAGGTCATATTGGCCCTCCGAATCAGACTCAATCATCAGAAATCTAACCCCAAGTAACGCAGGCACCCGAAAAAAAAACAAAAAAATTAACAAAGGCTGAACCACACGGGTGACACTGGAAAGGCTTGCTGTATCCATTGCACAGATAACCAAGCCCTCAAACCCTTCGAATCATGGCAGGTATTGCCACCAACCCCTCCAAGCCACCAAGAAAAAGAAGAAGCCAAGGGCGCCATCATGCCAGGCACGAGATTCGAAATAGTTGGAATGAACCCTAAGTAAGCAGTGGTTAATGCGAATTCTAATTGATATGACTTGTCTATCACTTACCTAGTCCGTAACTGGCAACGCAAGGGGGTTCTTGGGGGATTTGGGGCCCCGCCTGTCTCCTCGACGATAAGGTTCGGTCATTTCTTAGCGCCAAATTCCGGTCGGTTACCGATCCAAATACCTTGGTAATCTTTCACGTTTGAATATAACGAGCCTTGTATTAATGAACCGCCGTTTTATTACACGTATATGGAATTCCTGCCCTCAAAGGCGAGTGTCTAGGCAAGGTAGAAGCCAAGTGGTTTCAACAGAAACAGGACCCCTATTAGCTGTAATCCAGGGGAGTGTAGGTTTCAAGGGGGTTTTCACTATTTCATCACCTAGACATCCCTTTCTTGAGAGACAGGGTTATCGGTGCTGGTAATGCCAGCAACATGAAGACGATGGATGCCTGATAGGTGGAAGCATGTCACTGAATTTATGTTCTCCCTCATTCGGGCTTACTATATTCGGCTAGGGAGCTGCAGGCTACGCTTCCGTCAGTGGCCAGGACATTGCCCAGCCTATCTCGCAAAAGGTTGACTACACATTCCTATTCACATAGTGACCTAAAAGGGTATAGCAAACCCTCAAGGGCTTTGCGAACATGAATACTACCATCTAGCATTTGATATCATGACTCCAAGTATGTAGCATCAACTATGTCATAGCATTCGACTATCCTTCGGAAGAACATGGTCAGGAGATCTCGGAGAATGGTTGGTACTTGCGACGAATGTGCCGCTACAGTTTGCGATGGCCAAGGGCATTTGTGCGTTTGCCGGAAACAGAATCACATGTGGGGATATCGTATAATAACAGGAAAATGAGGGACTGATGATGCTATATGATTACATGCTATCATACTCAAAAGGGACATGCCTGCCCATTTTCCGTTTCTATGAGTGAGAAACAGACTTTTTGACCACTAAATGCACTAAACTGGATATTCAGGACGTAATACTAACAATCAAACTATCGGTTCATCTATTGCCCACCCAGGACAGATGCTGCAACAGTACAGTCTGCATGCGGTATCATAACAGTGCTTCCCAGAGTTCCTCCACTTGCGATCGTTACATACTCTCTAACGCCAAAGAGAGGTCCACTTAGACACTCAGCCATTCCAGACATCATTAAGAATATCCCCAAATAGGAGACCTTTGCAAATTCTCTTCTTTTTTCCGTCTTAGTAGCAATTAACAGTCACAGCACCCGGCCAATGATGAAGTTATAGCATTTCATACTACTGGGGAGTTAGTCCTAACTGCCTTCATCCAAATACCCCAATCATTACATCAAGATCATGACTCCCATTGTTTTGTTCCGTTCACGGACATGCGCGTACTACGGTTGCCTCAAGCTTTGATGGATATCTTCTTGGCATGACACTGCCTTCCTGCATGTAATTCTAGATTAAAATTGAGTACTTTCCCAAGAGTTCCCTTAGAGGGAAGACCACTGAATTGTAAGAGACCACAAGGATATATTCTCGAATTTGAAGAAACCGAAGTAGATTGTTCCCGGTGCGGGCAAAGGCTGTTTATCTCATTGGGTAGGACGCATTGGTGAGCTATTTCGCCACACCACACCACACACAATGCAGACTCATAGATGTTCCGTACATCAAAAATATACCCGAGAGAAGCAAGCAAACTAATTCTAGGTAAAATAAAACACAAAAAGCAAAAACATACAACAGAAGGGATTCGCTGGTGGTCACCCACCCAACTACTAACCTCCCGGCGTGTGGCTTAAGTACGGCTGAGCGGACGGGAAGCCCTGTTTTCCACACCCTATGGTCGTATGTGCTTGTTTTCAGTATGAAACGGTATATATCTAAACTATCCTAGTCGATGATTTAAGAGCATAGTATGATATCGAGTCACATCAGGAAATGGTTGTTGCACAGTCGCGAGCTAACGGCTGTTCTGTGACTGGGTCTTACTAGCAATCTACAGATGCTATCATTAAGATCACTCAAGATAGGTCTCATGATCTACTCGTAAATACCTATCGACGACGCCTACGTAAGGTGTAGCTTAATTCTCCCCCAAAGCCGTTCAAAGCTTAGCAGATCTGCTCTTATCGAGAGTAGAACGAGTCAAAGTCCCCTTTACCAACCCATTTGGTGCCGATTGCGGCAAATACACCTCTGCATCTTTGTCTGTGTTTTGAATGCCCTTGTGCCAGCTCAGGTCTATCAACATCCAATGTTAGTATGTCAGAAGAAAGAAGTATGCAGTCAAGATGCCGAAGCATTGCGGAAGCTTACCTATCTCCACATAGTGCTTATTAGGCCAAGAATACTCCACAGCATCAGCGAGAGGAACACAGTCCAAGAACTTCTCAGCCATCTTGTACAGTGTCGCCTGCGCGCTCATGCTATTGTCTTCCGCGAACGCCTTGAAGGATGCGTCTCTCGCCTTTGCGAACGCCTCAACGAAATGCGAGACATTCGCTTTAACGTCCGAAACATCTTCGAAGTGCTTCCACCTCCACTTGATATCAACATCACTACTCAGAATGCGGTCCCACGTCTCAGGCAATGTCGTGTATTCATCTTTGATGTATCCCCAGAACCCAGACCTGGTGCTCTTCAAAACACTGAGGCCAAAAATAGCCGACGTGATATCAATGCCAGAAGCTTTGGAAACATCCACGCGGATCTGCCGTTTGACGTTCCCGTCCTGGAAGAATGAATGCGGGTGTGGCTCGTTCTCGATGGTCATTCGTTCCCAGGTATGGCAGATAATGTCGATGTGGGCTGTGTGAATGTGTTTGTATTGAGTGACGAAGTGCTTCCCGAGGATGGAGCCGTATAGTTCCGGAGGGTGGACGGGGTTATGTTTGGCAATGATGTAACATGTGTTTTTGATTGCGTCTGTAGTGACAAGGACGCTGTTGTCTTCTTTGGTGTAACTTATTGCTTGATTGTTAGTTGGAATTTTTGATATCGTGAGATATCGTGACGAGAGTCTCACGAAGATTCTATGTCTCCCTCCAGCAAAACGCAGACCGTCAGTTCGTATACTGTTTGCACACCCGTTCCTGCATCACGATGAACTTTGTATAGTCGAACGTTGTCTTTGCCATATTGTGCATCGGATAGGCCGTACATGTTGAAGATTTGATTATTAACAAAGATACTTGTTCCAAGACGAGATGGTACGGTTCGAGAAACGCGGTCTCAGTTGTTGATATATCACTCAGGCACCTCCTTGTTGTCTGTGCTGCAGTCGGGCACCTCCGACGTCCGGAGAGGCCTGAACTCACGGATGGTGCCGCTATCTCTTCAATGGATAAGCTTCAGGCTGTCGGATAAGGCCACATACAGGGGTACTGATAGCGATGTGACGTGATGCGTCATTTTGAAGATCTATGATAGATGCCATTCTCTCGATAAATATAGTGCGTCTTCTCTCGAGACCGGTGGTCGTACATCATAAATATCGAGCAAATGCAGGCAACCCTTTCTCCATTTGTCAGAGACACGATAAAGTCCCGGGTCTTGTGAGTTACGCCATGAGAACACAATTATTTGCAGTGGAATTCAATACTGAGCAACAATCAATCCATAGAAGGCTATGATATTGAACCTGTGTTGTAGGATATTTAGCTGGCCGTTGCCGGCATCTTACAAAGACTTGTTTTGCCCTTTCAGCGGTTTCTTGTCATCACTAAATGCGCCGGTGCATGAAGCCATCGAAATAAGACGTCACATCCTCAACATTGTCCAAGCCAGTGACAAGTCCAATATAGCCATCTGGTCTCACCACCACCAAAGCACCGGAGTCGTCAGAGACACCGAGCTGGGTTTTTGCAGCTCCTGAAAAGTCAGAATATATGTTCATGGGCCAATTAGAGGAAAATGGAGCAGGGATATCTCCCAGTTGAATATCAAGGTGGTTCTGTGAGTGAATCAGAAAAAGATCAAGCACATATGCCTTGTTGGTGAATGGAACTGAGTCCGTTGTGATGTCCTCATGACGGAAACGTTGCATAAGTTCCAGTGGCAGAAGATTGAAGAGACTCATTGGTGAATGAGGTGAGTCCAAAGCATTTCCGAGATTCTGGAGGGTAGACGAAGATAGGTCATTGCCGGCAAAAATGAAGAGATGAAACCTGCCGATGGATGGCATGATGTCGAGCATGCGAACATGATTGCCGTCGATGTGTCGAATCAGATCGATAGGTAAAAGACGCTTGCCCGGCGTGAGGGGTTCCACTACTTGGTTGTTGATTGAAGTCCGGACATCGCGGTTAACAAGTAGGTTAGGAGGGTACTCATACCCACACCCGCTTGTGAAGCCATGTCCCATTTCCCATGTCTCGCGGAGGTTCTGACTGTCGAGTTTATCCTTTTGTCCAAATTGACGGGCAAACAAGGCGTCGAATTCAATAAGCTGTTGGGCAACCCAAAGTCTTTCTTGTTCGTACGTTTCGAGCAAAGATGCCTTTGCAACACCTTTCATAACCAGTGCCAGCTTCCATGTGAGGTTGTATGCGTCTGAAATGCTGACGTTCATTCCTTGTCCCGCTTTAGGACTATGTGTGTGACATGCGTCTCCAAGGAGGAAAACTCGCTTGGTCGTATCACTGAAGTTATGAACAACCCGCTGGGCCACACGATACTGGCTAATCCAAACGATGTCTGTGATATTCATCTTGTAAGGATGAATGACCTTGCTGATGTGGGACTGGACGGTCTGGGTGAGTTTAAAAGCGCTATTTCCTGTAAGGGCATCTTCCGCCGAAGCTCCGTTTGCGTTGAGATGCTCCTGACTTTTCTCATCCACCTGCAGGAAAATCCGGAGTCCCTCATCCTTGCGAGGGATCAACATGCAGCCACCATCTGGAGTTCGGATGGCACAACGTCTTCTGTAATCGGGAAAGTTCGTATCAACATAAACGTCCGCGACAGCCCAAACGTCCTCGCCGCCCTGCGAGGATGATTGCACACCGGTAGCTCGGCGTGTAGCGCTACGCGCGCCATCGGTACCTAAGATGTACTTCGTCTGCCATGCTTCAATGGCCCCGCTAGCATTATTCTTGATGTACGCTGTGAGTGGCCATTCGGGTTCTGAGCTGTGTTCATAATGAATAAGTTCCATGAATCGCTGAACCTTCTGCCCCTTGGTGTTCAAGTACTGTTCAAAGACATCTTCCGTCATGCCTTGGTCGGTATTGAAAAGGTACTGGTAAGGCGTGGCTTTTACAAAGTCAGCTACGTCGGATGTCATATAACTATCTCATAGTCTGCGAAAGAACTTACCATGGACCACCTCAGCGCCGGTGAAGTTACTGACTAGGGCGCCCGTGCTATCACGCATCCAAAAAGAAGTTTCGGTAAGACGATGCCCTCTCTTGTCAAGATCATGAAGTAGATTCATCGTCTGCAGGATCTCTTGGGTTCGAGGTTGGAATGCTTGGTGGTATGATCAGCTTTCTCGTCAAGTCAACAAGAGGGAAATTTATTGGCGTACCACTTGCATGCCCAGTTTGTGTTCTCGTGGCCCTTTTGTCAATCAGGCAAAAATCGATGCCGTATCTTTGCAACGTTGCCGCGGCCATGCATCCAGCGGGACCAGCGCCAACAATAAGAACATCCGTCCTCTGCGACTTGAAGGCGCCAAATTGATACGTTTCAATAGTCATGGTGAAATAATGATGATGAACGAAGCTTTCTGGGTTTTGAAGTGAGATTGCCAAAGAGACTTAACGGCCTGGCATGAGGGGCTGTATGCCGTGGATTTCCCATCCTCTTTATACCTCCACCGATGTGATATTTGGCCCCAGGTAAAGCCTCATGGTAGACCTCAAGGTGAACTACCAAAAGTACATCAATAGCACCGTCACTATCACAAGAGGTCTGGTCTCTTCAAAGTCATCCTTCCATGAATGCCGAATTGTCTGACGAATTTTCGCACGCGCTAATGCACGTTGCCACTGATATTCAACGAATCCAGAATCAGGTTCCGGTCAGGAAATCGAGCTGAACGGGCCACTGTTTCGAATACGACCGTGCGAGTATTCCTTTGGCATCATTGTTGAGCCGCTCAGCTGTGAGGAAGGATGCTCATTCGTATCCTACTATGATGACGGGCGCCGGAGACCAACATCCTAGGAATAGCGTGAACTTGCAAATAGGAATTGGGTTCGCACACGAATTTTCCTCGCCACTCGTTGTTCAATGTACTTAGTTGAGAGTCGGAGATGACTTGAATGGCCTGGGTGAGAGCCATCAGCGGGAAGACTGAAGGATGCGAAGGAATGAATGGGGGCCGCTTTGTTAGCCTCCATGCCGTCCGCCGGTTTATATGAGGCTAGACACACAATGTAACCCTGCTAGGCCGTTCTCGGGGTCAGGCCCGACGATCGAATCCTTCAACTCGGCATAGGTGCAAAATCAACAAAAACGTGAAAGGTGTGTGTTGGTGTCTTTCAAAACAAGTCAAAAGTGCTGGTATGAAGTGTCTGCGGCCTGCACGCGAAGTGTATCCCGAAAAACATTTTAACATTGGTCCAGAAGAGCCCTGAAGTCTGATCATGAGGGCACCCAGTGCAGCTCTCCACCGACCCATGTCTAGTGGACGCCCTGGCTGTTTCGGCATGATCCACAGCGGAAGCAGTGGGCCAGGATCTGACATCTGACCGTGCCCTGGTCCACTCCGCACGCCTTCCGTGAAGAATCGAGTAATCAAGCATAATCAAGCACTCAACTGTTAGATCTGAGGCTGTCGGCGGTCGCCGTTCCCCGTGTGCCTGGAGAAGACGTCTTGATCTGCGTTAACAGATTTATCGCGAGGAGGAAGGATCTACATGGCGGAAGACGGGAGACGGGAAGTGATAGACCCCTCCGCAGGACCGTTCAGGGTCTCGATGGTCTTCCCCGCAAGGTCCATTGCAAGGGCCAGTGGTTGATCAAGGGTCTGAGTTCCTACTTGCATCGGTAGTGGTCATCAGATATCGGTCAACTCCGTCAAATAAAGGAATATTAGGGACGGTGGCTGCCGAAGTCTCACATATCCGCAGAAGACATGGATTAAAGTGGAAGAATGAGAACCGTATGAGTCAGTCACTCTATGCCCCGAGCAAGTCAGCTTGTTTGCATATACTGGTGATGAATGATAAGAGTTATCTACTGGGGAAGAGATAACATTGGTAATGGTTCATGTTCTGGTTACCAAATCCACTTTTAGCGGTGGGGGCTGAAAGGGTTAAATATTGCAGCATCTGGAAGAAAGATAAGACCCACTCTGATACCAAGGTAATGCCTATCTACATATGATTTCCCGTTTCCCCCATTGATCAAAAGCACATCCTAAATAAGAAATGTCGAAATATCAGCCAGCATCTTAAATATACTCAAAAGACACACCTCGAGCTCTACTGTTGAAATCTTTCTCTGGTTCAAAGTGAGCCTGACGGGAATCCACTTCTGAATTCGGTTGCAGATATTGTTCTTGGCATGCAGGCATATTATTGCCAGATCCATGGTTTTCTCTACGAGAATGCGGCTCTCTTTGAGTTAATTATCTTTTCTACTGCCAGATTAAATTCCACTATGCTGCACTAAATGAAAGACTCTGTGGCAGGCCAACTACGGTAGCAAGTCTGTCCTTTCAACGCTTTCGGCACATACAACTCCAAATCATTCATACTTACTCTTAATCTAAACCTGAAAGTGTACTCGATAGAGTTACGGTGTGGCATGCAGAAGCACTTAATTGAATAATTGTAGTCTGTTGGTAGTAGAACCTCTATCACAAGAACGCTATCTATTGAACCTTCCCTCTAGCATCCACGGACCAGATCTCCTCAATGACTCCACCCCGATGAGCATAATAGAAGTCATGCAAATTGATCGTCGGATCAATGTGACTCGGGACCATCTCCACTCTATCCCCAACTTTCAAATCCGGCGTCCCCTCGTCCCAACTCAGCGCACCATGCTCATCACCCAGATTCTGATGCGTGTATCTGGAATCCTTACACTCCGCCAACCCACTATCTGTAGTCAACGACTTCAACCCCGCATCAATTGTAACCTGTCTCTCCCCCTGCTGACTCACTACCGTCGACAATATCGTCAGACTGTTCGAGTAATCCCTCCCGATCGCATTCCGGTAATCCGTATCCATAAAAATGAACGACCCCGGCTGCAACTCCGTCACACCGGGCACAGAGGAACAAAACTCCACCGTTCCCGTCCCACCTCCAGTCACCACATCGATCTGGAAGCCTTCCTTGCGCAGCGCCTCCGCCGTCTCCGTCAATATCTTCATGGATGCCAAACATTCCTGTCGTCTCTCCTCATAACTATGCATATGCTGCACATGTCCCTCATACCCCTGCACCCCGATCAACTTCAGATACTTCAGCCCAGACAGATGTCTCGCGAGCGCCAATGCCGCCTTCGCATCAGCCACGCCCGTACGGTGCAGCCCCACATCCAAATCAATCAACACCGCCAAGGGCGTCGTTATTCCCTCCCTCTCCAATGCCTTATTAATGGCAGTAGCCCCGGTTTCACTATCCACCACGGTGCGCAGTCGCCCCGGATGTTTCTTCACCAATTCAACGAGTCGCTGGACTTTCGGTGCGCCGATAATCTCGCATGTAATCAGAATGTCGTCGAACCCGGCGGCTGTGATGGCCTCGGCTTCTGAAACCTTAGCAACGCAGCAGCCTTTGGCACCTGCGGCGACGAGCCTCTTTGCTAGGGCAGCGCACTTGGTGGTTTTGAGGTGCGGACGAATGTTCAGTCCTGTGGGGAGGAGAGCGGAGAAGAGTTTCTGGATGTTAGATTCCATTAAGTCCAGATCCACGATCATTGAGGGAGTATCCAGGCTCGAGAGCCGGTCGCCGATTCGGGGAGTATACATGATTTGCGTTTCAGAGGGGAGGTGAGTAGCGGGAGGGTGAGTGATGAGAGTGTATATTGGTGAAGAAAGGACGTGGGAATGGGATTTTAAAAGAGGGGATGGTGCCCCTCCTTGGCGATGAATGTTCAGGCCGTGCGCCCTTGCAGATGGAGATAGGCCGAGATCCGAGAGCGATAAGCAGGACCATCCCTACTTATCTTCAACCCTCACCACCTTCGAACATATTAAGTAACTAATGATATGCCCCTTGTTATGTCACAATGCCGATTGATGTTCTTCCTGGATCCTGGAAAATTGACTGCCAACGAAGACTTTGTGGTAGGAAGAAAGAACAAACAAACATGCGGAGGGATGTGTTCCCCGCACGCAGGCGATCATTGCTATTTCGGGACCAGCGCAACACCCCTCACGTCTCTACTGAACATACCCCCCTGACCGACTTCTCCAGATCCCACTTACGCCTGTCAAAGCTGTCACAAAAAAGAAACAGCCTTGAGAGTGTAGATTTATGGTACTTCCCTGAGAATACTCAATCTCCACCATCAGTCGTACTATCCTCGTCAACACCACCAACAATAACCAGAAGAAATAATGGGTTAGGAAGGTATCTGGAAAACGATCTCGCCCTATGATTCATCATGCCTATGTATTGCAATTTGAATCCATTCATGTTCATGTTTCCTAGCCGATCTCGGTCCTGATATAAGATACTAGCTGTTCCATCCACTATCTTGATACTGCAGACAATTACTGCTCCCTGCCTGCCTGTTCCAAATGTACCGGGCTGGACAGCAGCGTAATCCTGTCTATACCATCTATTTAGCGATGTAGTAAATTTTCTGCCGATGGTCTATGAAAATGCTGTCATTCCGTCAGTTGTTTGATGATCTCCCATCGTTGTTCACTTCCGGTCAACTTCAGGACGCAAATTGGGGGACGTTTCCCGCCTAGACGTACTCTGAGAAATGTGACGCATGTAAGTGGAGGGGTGTTGTAAGCATAGTTTCGGATTGGGACCATTGAGAAGAGGTGATATCTTATCCGCACGCGCATGCCATTTTTAATAGAGATACAGTCGCACTATGGCTCTTCAACCGAGAACACGTATCCCCGGATGTCCTTTCTACTGTCCTTCCTGTCTCTGCTGCTGCTCCTGCTGTTCTTGCAGCTCCGAATACTCCTGCGCTTGCTGTTGGGCCTGCTGCTGTTGGGCCTGCTGCTGCTGCTGGTCTTGGTGCTGCTGGTCTTGGTGCTGCTGGTCTTGGTTCTGCTGGCTGTGGTTGTGGTGATCTTGGTGATGGTGATCTTGGTAATGGTGGCCTTGGTAGTTCTGACTCTGGCGCTGATACTGCTGGCGGTGCTGCCGTAACAATAATCAGTCTAATGCCATCCAATGTATCGAAAGGCAGAGTACTAACACGGTAGTGGCGCCGCCGAATCCTCTGTTGCCATTCGATCTAGTCGTACAAGTTAGTTTTCTGCATTATATGTTTCCCATATAGCTAACCTCGACGCGTCTAGCTCCCTGTAAGAAGTGAGATTGGTATGAGCCACACATCTAGGGTAAGAAGCAATACGGATGAATCATACCAGTATCTCTAACCCCCGGTATAGATAGCAGTTTGCGATTAAATGGCCCCCGCGGCCACAGAACCGGCACTGCATTCGAGCCTTGTTAGCAAATTGGCATGAAGCTGGAATGACTTAGTTTCATCATAGATAGGTTATAACACGTACTCTTCTGGGTCTCCAGCCACCGCGTCTGCCACGGTCACGGTCACCACCGCGACCACCGCTACCGCCATTTCCATGTTCTTTCGTGATAAGTAGAAGCTCCAGTGTTGCTATCCGATGGCATGATGTTTACCGGAACTTCTATATATCAAATTAGAGGAGAACTCATCTCCCGAAGAAATGCGACTATTTGAAAGGAAGATGAAATTGTGCGTCGGGAAACTTTGATTGAGCCAGGACAACAACCTTCACTGAACAAAACTACCAAACGTGGACTAGTACGTATGAGCATCGTCCATTTTGGGTCTAGGTCCAGTTTCTTTATTTTGATTATTCTTGCATTCAATGTGCAATCAGTGTCTAACATCAATGTGGCTGAGCCACTATAACAATTCATACACATCGGAACTTTACCTCGAGAATTAGTCCATTACCATTGTACCTGAAAGTAGCCTTAATATCCTCTGGCTTCAGGTCGGTGAGATAGACTTCATACCCAGTGCAGCTGAGCTATCCATATAGGCCATGGCCTCGAACAGATATAATCCGCAAGCGTAAATCCCGGTAAGGGGCATAGATAGTCCTCTCGAATAGACAAAGATGTATACTCGTCCCCTATGATAATTGCGTGATGGGCCACTATCCAGCACAGCACCTGCTGATGGTGGGAATTGTAAGCATTATCACGCATCATAATCCAGGGAGTATATATAATAAGTAAAACATAAGATAGCGTCCGGTATATCCGAAATCAGATAGAATCAGCCAATAATGCTTAATGGTATGGCTTAATAAACTTTGGACTGTCAAGCTTAGACTTTCCATAGGGGATGTATGTGCGCGCCGATGGCCCGATCCCTCACAGCACGTCCAGTCAGAAGAGTCTACCAAATGGTGTCAATCATCTATCCTGAGTTGCATAATGCCATTCCAGAATGACGACTTCCACAACATCATCTGTCCACTCGGATGTGTGAAACTGCCGACCGTTATCGGCCATGTAAGGCGTGATCGCCTAGTGTCTCGCGTCATCTCAGTGCACCGCAGCACATCCCATGCGGGGTTCAGGGCAAGAAGTACAGCCCCCCCCCGGAAGATTATAAATGCTACTAGTATGTTCATCCTGATCAGTGCCTCCATGTCATTGCATAGACCATAGATCATCTTTCATCATGCCTACTGAATTTATCAGCCTTACCTTTCCCAACGCCTCGACCGAGGTCGCGCCTATCCCCAACGCCCGTATTGACCCTGACTACCTCGTCCGCTATGCGAGATCACTAGACGACTATGGCTTCAACTACACCCTCGTGCCATACGATTCGTCTTATTTCGATCCCTTCACCGTCGGAGCCACCATTGCGTCGGTGACCAAGAACCTCAAGATCATCATCGCCCTCCGCCCCAACACCCTGTACCCGACCGTCGCCGCCAAAGCCCTCGCTACCCTAGATCAACTCAGTCGAGGACGCGCCGTAGTCCACCTTATTGCCGGCGGCAGCGATGCCGAGCAAGCCAAAGAAGGAGACTTCCTCACCAAATCCCAACGCTACGGCCGACTAGAAGAATACATCCGCATTCTCCGCCGAGCCTGGGAATCCGATGAGCCGTTCGACTGGGAGAGCGAACATTACACCTTCAAGCAATTTAGCAACCGAGTCCGTCCTGCCAACCCCAACGGAACCATCCCCGTCTCGGTGGGTGGCTCCTCCGATGAAGCCTACCGCGTAGGCGGCTCACTGGCCGATATCTTCGGTCTCTGGGGCGAACCGCTCAAGGAAACCAAGGAACAGATCGATCGGATCTATGCCGAGGCCGAACGCGCCGGTCGTGCACCAAACGATCGCCCCCGTATCTGGGTGACCTTCCGGCCTATTATTGCCGAGACAGATGAGCTGGCCTGGGCTAAGGCATATCAGACGCTCGATAAGTTGAAGGAGCATCGCGCGAACGGACAGGGCAAGGCGCCGCCCAATGCTCCGCCGCCGCAGAATGTTGGGTCCCAGCGTCTGTTGGATATCGCGGCGCGTGGGGAGGTCCAGGACCGCGCGCTCTGGTATCCCACTGTCACGGCGACGAATGCGCGCGGAGCTTCCACAGCATTGGTCGGATCGCCGCAGACTATCTCGGATTCGATTTTGGATTACGTGGATTTGGGCGCCGAATTGATCTCTATCCGCGGGTATGATAATCTCAATGATGCGATTGATTATGGGCGGTATGTGCTGCCTAAGGTGCGTGGGGAGTTGAAGGCGAGGGAGAATGGGAATTGAGGATGTCGCATGATGAACTCAAGCTTCACTCTTCAGGTAGTCTGAAGAATATGGATAGTAACTGTCAGATAAAGTTGATAGAAATTGATCGAAAGGGTATGCTTCCCCAACCTGACTGAAGCTGTATGCGTTAGTAAATAAGACACACAAGGCATCGAACTGGTAGTTGGCTACGGTGAGAAAAACCGACAAGGAAAAAGTAAAGTAGGAAAAGTAAACTTATCAACAAAAGCAAGCATATCACTCTAGATTTAGAAGAAAACATATAGGTCTGATCGAGTCGATGACCACAAGTTCTCGAGCATTTTGACAAACAGGGGGGGGGGGGATGGATTCTAAAAATGTAGTCTCAAATCAAACCAAAGGACTCTACTACATGTCTAGGCATCCAAACTCACCACCTGAAAAGCAACGCCAAGAACTGCACCACACTGCATCTTGAAACACGATAAGCTTTCCTCCAGCCAGCGGAGCAGCAAATAAAATCTCACCACGCGACCGTCTGGATAGTTCATCTACCCGGACCACCCGATCGCTCCACCCATTCAAGCCACTTCTCCCCCATCAAAACAATCTCATCTTTTCTCCATCCTCCCAACCTCACCCATCTTCAACAAGAAAACACCCCCACGAAAACAAAGACCATGCGATCTCCAAGCGACCCTCTCCTCGCCTCCGAAACCCAACCACTCCCTCCAGGCCAGATCTATCTCCCTGACGGCGAGGAAAACACACCATCCACCGAGCCCCTCATTGCGCGCTGCCGCCGGTCGGCCCGCAACTACCTCTCCTCCCGATTCGGTCACTACCTCGTCCTATTCCTTGTGTCTGTAGATGTTGCCTGTGTTTTTGCCGATTTCTTGATTGAAATCCATGTTTGCGAACTCGAGAAGAAGTACAAGCATGTGCCTTCCGGGTGGGAAGATGCTCAGGAGGCGCTGAGTATTACGGGTTTGGTGTTTTCGTGTCTGTTTATGCTTGAATTGGTTGTTGCTGTGGGGAGTTTTGGGATGAAGTAGGTCTTTTGCCATACTTTTCCCTACACTTTTGTCACTTTGCGGAGCTATAGTGGTTGTGTTTCTCGAGGTATGGGGCATTGCAGCTAGCTAACGGTATCATTGCAGTTACTTCTCATCCAAGTTCCACATCTTCGATTCAGCAGTCATTATTGTCGCGTTCGCCATAGATGTAGCGATGAGAGGGTTGGTTGAGGAACTGGGTTCCTTGGTCGTGGTTCTGCGGTTGTGGCGCGTGTTTAAGATTATTGAGGAGTTGGAATCCGCTAGTGCAGATTCTTTGGAGGAGTATGAGCGGGAAATTGATCGGTTGAAGGAGGAGAACTACTTGCTTCGTCGCAGGGCGGAGTTTGGGGGTGATGGGGTGAATTGAGCTTGGCATGGTGCTAAACTACCTAAGTATGTATGTGTGTTTAGCGTGTGGGGTAGACTGGCTGGTGAGCTGAGTGGATGATCAGAAGTGTTCTTTGTAGATGGTTTGTGGTTTGCAGTAGGAGGTGATCTGCATGGGAGATTCCGGGTATATAGTCCTTGGTTGTTGTTCGGAGATCTTCTGGTAGCGGTTCGAACATAGACAGTGATTTGATGGCGATTCGAGCGTCCAATTTCTTATATCTGTACCATTTTCTTGGAGACCGCACCAGGGCGCAATATCCCTGGTAAGGCTGAGAAGATGCAGGAAGCTTACCACTTCTCCACCTCATCCTGCACGATTCTCCACCTACACCCCGCACTGAAAGCGACACACGATCGCATTTCCATATAACTAGGAAATCTTTAGGAGTGAATGTGTCGCTACGCCATACATATAAATCATGCGATTTTTCAGGCACCATTATATTTGCAGTATACACCTTCATATGAGGAATTAGCCATTTCAACAATCCAAACATTTTCATCGAAATAAATGCAGCCGTTAACCCGCGTCAAACCTTTTCTGCATGAGAGCATATGTATTGGATACTCTACACGGTATGTCTGTACTAGACTCATAATCATCTATGCAACTTCATGAAAGGCCTTGCCAACCCAGAAGCTCTAAGCTCGACCAAAAACCTCATCAATAAACTCCAACCCCCTGTTATACGCCTCCACAGACCCCTTCGCCGGCTTGGGTGGAAATCCCTGACTGAAATCCATCAATCCATGCGCACCCCCCTCAACAAGCAACAATTCCGTCTTAACACCCAACTTCTTCAACTGCTCATAATGGTTGATACTCTCTTTATCGGGGACAACATCATCCGCAGTTCCATGCACAAACACCGCAGGCGGATGCTCCTCAGTCACATGCAACTGCAAAAACGCCGGCTTCAAGTCCTCCGGAATAGCAGCCGCTCTTTGCGAATACTCCACCTTATTCAACTCCGCACCTAGCCCAGGCCGTCCCAGACATCCGTCCAGGAACGTCCCATCCAATTCCCACCGCACCGTCAGCGCAAACCGATTCGTCATCATACCCCCGTCTTCGGGCATGTCGTCGCTGACGACGGTCTTGTCGGCCAGTAGCTTGGGGACTTCGTCCAAGTTCACCATGCTAGCAATGGAAGTGGGAGGACGGCCAGTCGTCCAGTGATCGAGGAGCCAGTCGCCGGCGCTACCGAACCCGGTTAGCATGGCGGCGGGCTTGGGGGTCGCGTAGATGCAGGCAGCGCGGGCGGAGTATCCGCCTGCTGAGAAGCCGGTTACGGCGACGCGGGTGGTGTCGAGGGTTGTGCCTTCTGGAAGGGAGTTCTGGAAATCTCCTGCTAGGAAGCGGAACATGGCCTTCGCGTCTTCAATCTGGTCGAGCGCTGTGGTGGGGTGGCAGAGACGGTAATCTGCAGAGATGAAGATGTAGTTCTTTTGCTGGCAGTGGTCTGTTTACTGTGTTAGATATTCTGCTTGTCTGGTTCGGTATCTGAGATAACAGGTGGAAGGACGTACTGTATAGCCAGTGCGGGAATCCCATGCCCCGGCGGGAGCCTGCGGTCATGCCGCCACCGTGGTAGTAGATGATGGCGGGGAGATTTCCGCTCGCATGGGGTGGTAGGTAGTAGTCAAGTTTGACATCATGGCCATCGACAGTGAAGTAGACCAGGGTTTTACCTCCTTCAGGGAGACGTGGCGGCATGTTTGCTAGTTGATGCGGGGTTGAGATGTTCAGCGTAGGGACTATGGCCGTGTTAGCGACGCGGTGACTGAGTGAAGATTAAGGAAACGTTACCGGTATATACAGATTGCTCTAGTGGGATAGTGTGTGAAATTTCCTATAATACTTTGCCAATGATGCGCAATTTGTATCCAAGATCAGGCAGCAGCGGAGACTGGAGATTCTCAAACATGATGATGTTGAGCCGGGTGAGTATATAGCCGCTGACCCCACCATGCCGGCACGCCGAGATTCGGCACTACCTCGGCTTTAAGTCTATCGCAAATAGACTCGGTGGAGACATTGATTGCAAATGTCCTGGAAAGGCTGTGCAGACCCCGTTAATTCTATTTATGGAATTGAGGTGAAGATTGGCCGAAAGCTCGATGACATCACACGATACTGTGTAAAGTCAATACCCATGTGTCCCTGGTCTAGTATTCAGACACGACAACATGCCTCTTCTTTAGGGGTCAAATTGACGAGACAGTATAGGTCTTCCTTATTGTATCCATCATTATCCGTTCCTTTCCTCATTCAAGTTCCTTTCAACAAAGTTCTTCGATTTTGACACAAGTCTCAAGTTGATTATATCTGCGGTTGCATCATGCATCCAGCACTTAATACTTTCTACTAAAATTCCGTCGTTCACTCTGGACAGGCTCTGTTTTAGGTGCATATATTCCTGTTTCGATAAGCTAAATTAAGGACAGACTAGACACAAAAGAATCGAAACACAATTTTTGCGCAGGTTGACTGCCATCACCCGGGTATCGGCCAAACCCAGACAAACATTGACAAGAAGCACTACAAGCCCGCGGTGAAAAAAAAAAAAAAAAAAAAAAAAAAAAAAAAAAAAAAAAAAAAAAAACGAGCGAAACAGGACCAATCGAAGACCCGTAGGCAGGGACAATCACTCCCACCCCACGATCTCAACATTCAGTTAGTGGCAGTATCCATTGGACATCTGGTAAGCCTGAAGACAGCTATTGCATCCATTCTGGCGACAGGTGTTCTGCGAGGTACAATCGGCCGTTCTGCACATATCCTGGCTTGGCATTCCAGTACCCGTGGGCAGTGACTGGGACACGCTGCTGGGCGCCCTGGATGGTAGCTGGTCAGAACCAGGGTTGAGCAGCTGGTCAAGGTCCGTAACTTCGCGGCCGTCAACGCCCTGGAACACGCGTTGAAGACGGGCTGCATCCCGCTGTGGCAGATTTTGGATGTACTGGCTGATTTGCTGCGGGCTCAGTTGCTGGTAGGAGACCACCCGGTTGGCTGCGTCAACGGATCTCAAAACGCCGTCGTTGCCGAGAAACAGGACTCCATTGGACGACTGAGGGATGTTGTTGATGATGTCGGTGACATTCTGGGTGCTCTTTGGTGGGTTAGTAGGTTTGAGGTTCTGTTTGCTAGAGAAGAATCTACTTACATTGGACGTGGTGGGTACGGCGGGAGCGAGAGCGAATAGAACGCTCAAAACAGCCAGGATCTGAGCCTTCATTTTGTTGACAAGGTTTGAGTGCTTTTTGGATATATTGGAATGTCTTATTTGTTCCTTGGCTGAGTGTGGTTGCTGGTGATGGTAGAGATATGGTAGGCGAGAAGGACGTATTTATATTAGATTGCTTCCTGCAAATGTGATATAGCCTTAGGCATCTGTATATATTTTGCCAAGCTGGCTCCGACATGTTCCCAGGTGTAAGCTCATGGCAGCACAAAGATAATAACGGTGCTGCATGATGGACTGTGCAACTCTCGGGTAGCATTGCTGACAGCGAGACGGTGAAATGAGCAGGTAGTGGTAGTGTCATCACCTTGTTATGAAAACGGGTTTCTTTGTCAACTAAATAGAAGCTACTAACAAACTTGTCCTCTAGCATAATTTGAGAAGCAATTATGTAACGTTGGGTTGACCTCCAGGAGAAGAGCGTTATACCGCAGGGCGTCCAGACGCAAAAATTTCATACATAAATTGTCCAGCGGTTGATGTCTGACAACGAGGAAAGCCTGACAAACTGTGACACAAATCATGATAGGCCGCAGTCTTATTTTCGTCGATTAGAGTTATTATATCAGAAGCTTCATCAGCTTTTTCTCCAGCTTCAGCTGTTTTACCCAAAATCAAGCAGCGCTCATTTCACAAGGCTTCTAGGGAGTGAGGCGGTAGCATGATCTTGTGTTCCGAGAAGAAAGGTCTGGATTCTTTATTCCACAGTAGCCGGGCACGTCTTGGGGTAATCAGATCAAGTATGAGGCGTATGTACCATCTAAGCTGACATACCATTTCACTTGACATATCACCAAATGCATCATGTTCGCGCAACATGGTAGAACTTCCCATTATAGCCTCGCTTACGACAGTTCCATATATAGATACCCCAGCTAGGCAGTTTTGCTTGAGATGTTGCGTCCCTACGGCCAGGTCGGGGTGGGATCGTGATGACGGCGTCCCGATCAATGCAGGTGATGTCGGTCGCATTATCGCTCTCAGCTAGAACGCTACTCACTCATTTGACTATGTGCAACTAACATACGTATGGAGGCAACTAGTCCGTAATGGTATGACGCGATAACCTCTCCTGTTCAAAAATAATCTCACGATTCCTGTCCGATATGCCACGAACCTCAGGGAAACCAGGAATATCAGTATGATCTAAATGTTGAAATATGGTCATTGATACATGCTTGACAAGAACAGACTCCCTTAGGAGTCAATCTATGTGGGACTCATGAGAATCCTCATCGTGCTCCTCCTCCCCAACTGATTCAAAACTGATCCCTCCAAAGGGGTCAAACAAATCCCTATTGTCACGGGAAGCAGAGCACTCCCGCAATTCATACTGGCCCCGTAACAGCGCATCACGAATTGCTAGCTGATGTTTCCGAAACGGAATTGTACCAGTCTCCATTCCTGCCAACACATCAAAGTGAAACTGACGATGTTCAAGTCTCAGCTGCTCGGCAAACGACTTCTCTTTCAAAGCTGGAACATGCGCGTAGAGATAAGAGATTTGGCAAGCCAAAACGAGTGATAGCATTTCATAGTTGCTGGGACATTCTAGCCAGCTCTCGATTAGCGCATCCAGGAAGCTTGCCAGTGGCGGAAATGGCACCTTGAGCGACGGCATGATCTCTAAAGGCACCCATTCCAATCGAGCGTTGTGTGTTAAATAAAACCTCCAGTCTGCCGCAGGAAGGAGGACAGTTCTCGTCTGGCCCTTTGGGGATATCAAGCGCTGTTGAGGGAAGTCCACCAAGTCCACTTTGCATTTCCAACGAGATGTGGTAATTGCATATCGGAACTCCACCCGGCCTTAGCCAGAAGATTGGCAGCCAGCTCAATATCTTTGACCAGAATATACAGATCAAACACAGCAGTAGGGACACCGTAGTGGACGAGAGTGTCTTCAAACCATACAACGTGGGGAACTTGATGTTCAATAAGCACTTGGCAGACACTGTATCTTATTTCGTCTCCGCCTTCTCCCGTGCCAAGATGATAGTTGAGCCTGATTTCCTCAGGTATTAGCAGTACTTACCCCCAATTGCCATCCCTGCATCTGTCCTGGACCGTGAAAAGCTGCCCTTGACTCTCATTGTTATCAAGAGAGTCTCATATAATTCTATCCTTACAAATAAAGGTGGAATGGTACTCAATCTTGGCCATATCCTTACTACAACTTCATACAAACACGCGCGGCACAGTCACTATGACCAAGAGTATATATAGCTCGTTAACATTGAACGGTATTCTACAAAAGGGTAAATGGGGACTATACTCAGTGGGCGTTACGCTAGGTTGATTACATATATGACTACGTATGCCACATATCTAATCCTAGCTTACCTGGTTGAATATCAGTCACGCCTTTGCCTTGTTATCTGCATCTGAGTACGATGACTTTTCTGAGAGGCAAATTGCCATGGTACCAAGTCTTTCTTGACTTGGATAATATATTCAATTTGTTCATAGCGGGTGCAATTTTATTATATTTCTTGCATCTTCTTTTTATTGTTCTCCAAATGACTTAGGCAAATGAATGGGACTTTGTTCTAATTAGTAGCAAGCATGGAATGTCACATCGCTCGATGGCCAAGTCATTCCCGTCATTCGGTGATCGACATCTTGGCTATTGCGCTTTTATACAGTTAAAAGTAACTCCGTCAGACACTGGCTTTAGCAGCAGCAGCATCATCATCATCATCATCATCGAAATAGTATATCTGGTCCGCAGAATAAAATTATACTATTACTCCTTGAGATATCTGATATTCGGTCTTCTCCAGATCATCGCAAGGGCCAATAACTGAGCGACAGAAAATACCGCCGAAAGCTTGATCGGTGCGCTGTAAGCCATTGCGAAAACCTCGCGGACACTAATTTGGATCTCTGATGGAAATGACAGAATTACTTCGGTTGTTTCTAAAAGAGCGCTCAGCTCTTCAGGTGGGAGGATGGATGAGAGCCGGCTTTGAAGATAATGATTGAGAATAGCAGCCGACGCTGCCACGCCCAAAACACCACCGAGCATTCGAAGCTGCAGTCCAATTCCCAAGGCGATGGACTGATCCTTTTTATTTACCACAAGTGGCGCGATCATGGTGAATGTAGCCATAGATAGACCTACACCCAGCCCACCCAGTGCCAGATATCCAAATTGGCCCGTCCAAAGCTCCGTGGTAGACGCGATTCCCGAGAAAAGAAACAACCCTATAGCCTGAAAAATAATACCAAACAACGCAATGTAGCTAAACGGCACTTTGAGACGGCCAGCTGAAAATGAACAGGCCATGATTCCAATAGGACAGCTCAGCGCAAATGCCAATAGCTTGTCGCCCGCTCCAATCGGTGAGCTTCCGTTAACGGTTTGAAATCTTTGTGGAAGATTGAGAACACAGGCTGTCAAGGCTAGACCCGTTGTAAAGAATCCTCTAGAAGTCGGCTCGTCAGTGGATCTGTTTAGCTTGGAAGAAGAGGAAACATACAACGCGGCACCCATGAAAGCGCGGTTCATTGTCAGCCTCCATGGGAACATTGGAATGATTTCGGAGTCAAGCCGATGAATAAACCACTCCCACAAGATAAATACAATCCAAGACAGTCCTGAAATCACGAGGAAACGGATTACCATGGCGGAGGACCATGGGAGCCTGAAATTTCCCTCTTGGAGAGCTGCAATGATAAACAAACATGCTGTAAAAATAAGAAAGGAACCAACGAGGTCTAACTGTCGGAAAGAAGTCACGATCTTATTCCATATTCTGATTGACTTTGGTCTGGACTCGTCAGTTGACGCTTCGGGTTGATGTGGGAAACGGGCCGGTAGAACAGAGAATATTAGAACAAAGGCAAGACCGCCTGCTGGAACACTATGCAGATTATCACAGCAAGTATATTCAACAGTAAGATGTACCTACTTGCACAAGAATACCCAGTGCCAGCTTCCACCGCTTGTTAACGCGGATCTTGACTTCTTTGTTATGTTCAGCTCCCTCTCTGGTGGTATTGGACAGCCTGGCCAGATTAACTACGCGGGCGCCAATACCTTCATGGACGCCTTTGCGCAATACCGCTCGAACCTGGGGCTTCCGGCCTGTGCCATCCAGATAGGTGCAGTCGAAGAAGTGGGATACGTGGCGGAGAATGGGGGAGTCATGCAACAGTTTACGCATACTGGTGGCCTAGAAAGTGCGGTTTCCGAGCAGGAGCTTCTTGAGGCCGGTGACTTCGACATCGAGGAACTTCTATCTTGGAGTTCGCTCCAACATGTGCTTAAGTACCCCGGGTGAGCGTTCTCTGTGGAAGGGCGATATCCGAATGGCAGCCTACCATAGGAATGAAGATGCCAATCCCAAAGTAAATGCATCCTCCAGCAATGATCTACAGTCCTTCATCACTAAGGCGAAGGGCGACGCTACTTTGCTGGGTCAGTCTGAGTCTGCTCAGTTCCTCGCTCAAGAGATCGGCAGGAAGGTATGTGATTTCCTGTTGAAACCAGAGGAAGAGTTGCAGACATCGTCCTCTCTGTCGGATTTGGGATTGGATTCCCTTGTTGCTATTGAGTTGAGACAGTGGTGGAAGTTGGTTTTCGGGTTTGATATTAGTGTGCTCGAAATGATGGGGATGGCGAGTCTAAAGGCTCTTGGAGCGCACGCTGCCAAAGGCATGCTGCGCTTGTTTCATGGTGTTGAGGAATGAGTCAACCGACGGTTTGAGGATGTTTTCGCCTCTGATTTTATGTACTTGGTGAGGTGACTGCATAATACTACACCACTCAATGTTGTCTGGCCGGAACCTTTTTGAATGAACATACATAAATATTGGTCTCGCTAGTTGATTTAATGCACATTGTATACATAGCTTTTTCCAATTCTCAGATGTTCTCTCGGTGGTTCCACGCAGTATTGCAATATACCATATAACTAGTTGTAGGTTACCTCGGCAAACCATGTTTAATTTCCACGGGATTTATACGGGATAAGATATCCAGCTACTTAGTCCGAGTGGCACCCTAGCTACTTATCAAGCAGAGATAATCCCAGAGTAACAGAGGGTATGGGCGAGCTGTCCACGGCAAGATCCACAGACCATTGTTCGAGTGAGCGGGAACTCGGCATGAAAGAATCCGCTATTGGCAGCACCAGCTATCGTCTATCTTTACTACAAGCAGGTGAGACGTGGTTAGTAGAATTCAGGAAAGCTTATACTTACTTTGTTAGCGTACCAAAGAGTCCAGTGCTTGATACTTCCATGGACTCGGGTACTTGGTATATTCCCATGGTAAAACGTCGCTCGGGGTTTTGGTACCCCGGTCGGAAGCTTGTCGTTGGAATTGAGGAGACGACTTCGACTAAGTCCGTCAATTTAGGCCATAAGAAAAAAAGATTTCTTGAGAGTGCTGGTGTCAACGGTCGCACAATGCTGTGTGATACAATTAAAGAGTTAAATTAAGAAGGTGGGCATGTCCGACCGGACGGAAGGGCGCAACAAGGGTGTGTGAGTCAATATGAAGGGGAAAAAAAGAAGGTTGGAGCTGCGGGGAATCGAACCCCGGACCTCTCCCATGCTAAGGGAATATTATACCACTAAACCACAGCCCCGTTTCTTGTTGAAGGACTGCAATTCTTTTGGCTACACAAATCAATCCTTAAAGATTCTCCCCTTTTCTAGAATATGGTCTGTATTTCAAAATCGCCTCTTATGTTGACTCCAATGGTCTCTGGCTTGAGACTAAAGGTAAGCGCAAGAAAATACTAGTTATCAGCATACATTTGTCATCTTGACCTCTTGGAGTTCCCTAGTTAGAAGTTGTATTTGCGATCAGTTGATGTTCATAGTCACTTACTACCGATGATGACCCGCTTGATTCACCTTTTACTTACTATTACGGCGGCATTCCATAGCCCGTATAGACCGGATGTTACCTCCGCATGGATTTCGCACTTCAATCATTCCCTCATGGGTCAATCTCTTCACTACCAGATACTATGATCATGCCCTGTTTATACTCTATCTATACTTTGCTTACTTACTAGTAGTTCTCCCGGTGTAGTGTTTCTACCCGTCTCACCTGCCCACGCCTCTTTTCCGCCCGATTCTGTTGCCTCTAGCAGCAGATCCTGTGCGCTTTAGGGATGTCCTATCCTCCAGATATAAGTAGTACCGCTAGGGTGGTATCTGGTAAGAGATTAGAATTCTCTGTAGATACACTCAGAATACCCATGGCTACCACTTCCCCAGATAAGAGAAGCCATTACGATCATCCCCTAGCCTAGGTTGTGTTCTCCCTTATATTAGCGACCTTCCGCAGTGCCAGTACACTTGATTCATGCTACAATACCATTTGTGGCTGTTAATCCGTGTTATAAGCAATATACAAGCCTCCCTTTACGTTGACTGCAAACGGAAAGTGCCGTGTAGGAGCCCGAGTAATGCTACTTCCTACCAATCAGGTGATGTCGGACGGGACCGACGCGTCGCCGCGTTTTAACTTCACCAGCTCATTTCAGTCACCAGCTCCTGGCAACCTTCTTGGAGATAATAGCAGTCCAGATGTCATGATTTTGAATGTGTTTATCAAATAAGAATTGTCAGAGCTAATACTACAGTACCTTGAATTCTGGTTTACTTCTGTCGGATTCCGACCAATCTTCAGCTAAGATGATAGCAGGCGCCACGGCGTGCAGATATTAGTTATAGCATCGCGGAGCAATCAACCGCCCTGAGCACAAGCACCCGAGTTGCCGGACCCCGTGTCAGCATCCCACTGATGACAATCTTCCACCACAAGTACACAGTCGAAGTTGACATACAAATCCCTACACCCCCTCCTAAGATGAGTCGCAAATCATAATCAAACCCGGCGGGGACTCCGGCTATGAGGTCGACCTTGCAGTGGCCAGTGCAACGCTGTTCAACCCAAATATCGATCATGCCATTCAGAACGCCGCAAGAGGTACGGGGCCATAAAAGCATGTTACCGATGGTTCGTCGGTCAAAGGACATATGACGAGAATCAAAAATGTACCGAAACGCGCGGGGAAGGCTTCAGACGTAGGCCAAGACCCCAGATCCCGAGCTTTGGCGGACCGATTTTGAGCCATGGAACCCAGGTGGCATTCACACAGCTGCCATTGGATTGTTGCAAGTCAACCTGTCATATGTGCCGGGGTAATTTCCCCTCTGAGTGATGACATAAGAATTGACTTTCCCCGGATCCCAACCAGAGATCGGTCTTCCCCATCAAAATGCATGCAGCATGACATGTTCGGTATGACCGAATTCCCCGAACCCCAGAGTTACAATCTCGGCCCATGTCAGAACATCAGTGGCTGATGCGGAGTCCCATGGGCCAGAGTTCAGGACCACCACGTGAGCAGCTGAACACTCATGCTGGGGTACCCTTGTCCGAACAAAGTATTGGAGACGAGTTCCTTTTCGCCTGACAGACAACCAGACAAAGAAGCAAGCGAGTCCAGTCTAATTGATGACATCACGGACCCATCATGCGGAATTGCTGCCAATCCTCCCTTCGTCTATATATTTGGAGCTTCATGCCTGACTCTCACAGCTCAGTACCGCAGGGAGACTGTGCCATTACGGTCTGAAAATTCGACACCTACTTTAAATGACAAATATGAGATTGCCAAAGGTCAAAATGCCTCGTAAGAGGCCGCAAGACGAATTCAATGGTGATGTGTTGCAGCAAGAGGCGCAAGCCACCGGCCCCAATGGCCAGAAATCTGAAGAGGAGACAGTGGATACACCTATCCCTCTGCTCACGTGGCGCTCTTTCTTAATGGGTATTTTCGTGTCAATGGGTGGTTTTCTTTTTGGCTACGACACTGGCCAGATTTCGGGCTTCTTGGAGATGCCGAACTTTCTCCAAAGGTACGGACAACAGCATGCCGACGGAACATACTATTTCTCCAATGCCCGTTCGGGTCTGATCGTCGCGCTGGTAAGACACGCATGGACAGCTTGACCCAAGTTCAAACTTGCTGATAAGCGCAGCTATCAATCGGTACCTTGATCGGCGCTCTTATTGCGGCTCCCATCGCAGATCGCATTGGCCGGAAATGGTCCATCAGCGGCTGGAGTGCCATGGTGTGTGTTGGTATAACCATACAAATCTCTTCTCCATTCGGCAAGTGGTACCAGGTCGCCATGGGTCGTTGGGTAGCTGGTCTCGGCGTTGGGGCTCTATCATTGCTTGTTCCCATGTATCAAGCAGAAACTGGACCTAGGCACATTCGTGGATCACTTGTTAGGTATGCCTACAAACCTGTGGTATTATTATAATATGGAGGCTAACGTAAACAGCACCTATCAGCTTTTCATCACACTTGGAATATTCGTCGCTAATTGTATCAACTTCGGAACAGAAGACCGGAATGACACTGGATCCTGGCGTATTCCCATGGGCGTCACTTACATTTGGGCCATCATCCTGGGCTTCGGAATCGCACTATTCCCAGAAAGTGCCCGATACGACTATCGTCATGGAAAGGAGGCTAAAGCAGCCCGTACCCTCTCGAAAATGTACGGGATTCCTGAAAATCACCGAATGCTGAAGCTCGAGATCAACGAAATCCGGCAGAAATTCGTGGAGGAAAAGGAACGCGGACAGATAACCTGGTCCCACCTATTCCATGCACCCCGCATGACATATCGCGTGGCAGTTGGAGTCGCCCTTCAAGCACTGCAACAGTTAACTGGTGCGAATTATTTCTTCTACTACGGAACTACGATTTTCCGAGGCGCCGGTATCTCAAATTCCTACGTTACACAAATGATCCTAGGCGGAGTAAATTTCGGAACAACATTCCTAGGGCTGTATTTGATTGAGAACTATGGTCGTCGACGATCCCTGATAACAGGAGCATTGTGGATGTTTGTCTGCTTTATGGTTTTCGCCTCAGTGGGCCACTTCTCCCTCGACCACGAAAACCCCGAACGGACCCACACAGCAGGTGTGGTCATGGTTGTCTTCGCCTGCCTGTTTATTCTTGGTATGTCATCAATGGCATTTCTCCACTCTAGTCCAGTTAGTCCCAGCTGCTAACCGCTACAAAGGTTTCGCATCAACATGGGGTCCCATGGTGTGGACCATTATCGCAGAGCTGTATCCCTCCGAATTCCGTGCCCGCGCCATGTCGCTCGCCACAGCATCCAACTGGCTCTGGAACTTCCTTCTCGCCTTTTTTACCCCCTTCATCACGAGTGCCATTGACTTCCGGCTCGGCTACGTCTTTGCCGGCTGCCTCTTCCTTGCGGCGGGCCTGGTTTACGTGGCTGTCATTGAAGGCCGTGGCCGTACACTGGAGGAGATCGATACAATGTACGTTATGAAAGTACCGCCCTGGAAGAGCTCCAAATACGTGTTTCCCGACATCGATCCGTACGATCGCCGCGGCTCGACTTCATCCAAAGCAGGGGCTTCTCATGTTCCGCAGGTGAGCGGTGGAAACGAGACGTTCAGCCCTCACACAACTGAAGTGTAATTCTTGATTGCTCCGCCTGTTAGGAGATATGTGTGGAGCTCCGAAGCACTTGGAAGCCGGTAGTACACTTCTATGATAGGCTCCATCGGATTTCATGATCACGCTCAGGAAATGATGTCTCTTGTTGTTTATAGGAGTTGCATCATTGTAATACTTGGCTGAGAGACGTTTTTTGTATACCATCCCATTTTGTTATGTGTTATGATGCGACGTTATGTACGTATGAGTGATGAACTATTGCTATGGCTTTTTATGATCAATTCAAATTCAATCAACTTTGTGCCACACAGAACATATCCAAAAACAACTCAAAAACCGCACACTAAAGAAGTAAAGACCCAAAGAATCGTGATATTTGATGCATACTCTATAATTCATAGAACTCCGGCGTCTGCTCCACCTGCACAAGTTCCGGCCTATCCGCGCTGTACTCAATGATGAGAGCCATTTGTGCTTGTCCAGGTTATGCACTAGCACATAGCCATGTGGGAATAGAGATGTTAGCCTCAAGAATGGCTGCTTTTAACAATGCGTAGCTTGTTGTATTATGCGATCACGGTTGACATATTCATATCCTACATTATCTCTCATGCTCTAAGCTTCTTGATGAACTAGCGTACAGTTTTGCATTATTGACAACCGTACGTTGACTGGTCTAGTATGGCGAATAATAAAGTCATGCTTCCATTCTTATCCCAAGAAGACTGACTAGCTATATACAGAATTATTACATCACGCCTCTCGTCCCACAGGAAGGAGAGTAAACCACTGATAAATTTACTCATCTTTCAGGCCGACCAACTCCAAGCTCAACTTCCAGAACTTCCTCTCTCCGTCCACATCATACGCCCAAGAAGCATACCCCGGACCCCAGAGACCATTACTAGGGTCATATGGCTCAGAAATCTGACAGTCCTCCAAGTACTTCCCTCCCTGGCCCTCAAGTTCCTTGGCGACAGCCGCCAGCACAGTCGTGGCAGCACCCTGTTGCGGACTCTTGAAAATCTTTATCAGTGTTTCATCTTGACTCCAAGCTGTCTGCTGCTCCTGCGAAGTATGGCGCTGGAGATCCGTATTGATGCCACCCGGATGCAAACTAAAAGCATGAAGGCCCTGAGCACCGTACTGTCTCTCAATCTCGTTAGCGACCCAGATCCCTGCAGTCTTGCTCTGGCCGTATGCCTTCCAGGGCTCGTATTCGCCCTCGAGACTGAGGTTGTCGAGGTGGACGCTTGAAATTCTGTGAGCGGCGGAGGAAAGGATCACGACACGGGAGTTAAATTCGGGTGTTGACGAAGCCAGCAGGGTGGGCTTCAGAAGGTAAAAGAGAAGGAAGTGCGCGAGGTGGTTGCTGCCGATTTGAGTCTCAAAGCCGTCTATTGTTCGGCCTTCCGGGCACGCCATGACGCCAGCATTCTCGATGAGGATGTTGAGCTTCTTGCTCTTAGACTTGAAGTCTTCTACTCAGGCGCGCACGGAGTCCAGGGTGTTCAGTTCCAAGTGAAGAAAATGGACTCGAGGGCTCTTGGCTAAGTCGCCGAGATTGGCCTCTGCCTTTTTGACATCGCGGACGGTTAGGTAGAGGGTTGCACCGGTGATGTGGAGTGCGCGCGCGGTCTCGACACCTAGTCCGGAGGAGCAGCCGGTGATTAGGATGGTTTTGTCGGAGAGCTTGTCTTCGAGGTTTTGGTCTTTGATGATTTGGAGAGCGGTTGGGCGGGCGTCACCGGGTCCTTGAGGGGACTGGTGGGCTGCAGCGTATTTGGAAGACATGATTATGGTGTTGGATTGGGAGTGGATAAGTGGAGTTGATCGTGTATGTTGTTTAGCTGATGATAGATAGGCGGGGGTGAATACTGCGCAGTATTTGTAGGTTCTCCTGCTCGGCGATATGGCAAATTCATCATGGATGACATCAACCAGTGGATCAAAGACTCTCATTAAGTCCGACCAAGTCCCGGATGGGCATACATTGTAGGATCATCATGGCCTGCCATACTCGAAGCACCCTAATGACATTCATACTGAACCCCCACCTGTTTGCATAGGGATGTACTGCCGCCTTGTACAATGGCATTAAAGCTTAAAGTGCTTACTGGAATATGGTGCTGACACCGGGCTCGTGCAGCAATGTCCGAAGAGAATCAATCCATCCTCTTGCTAACAGGGTTAAACTTTCAAGGACCTTTGGAGAACCGCCTATGGATGAGTTATTGAACTAGGGGAAAAACTGTCATTTAGCCAATTCGTCAAGTGGGTCCAGGGGCATGTCAGCTTGTGCGCGATCCGATGTGATTATCCTGGGATGTCGGACATGACGGTGTTAAGGCACGGATCGGACCGTGGTTCATTGTCAGCTCGCTAAGTTATGCCTCAATAATTCAGTATCCATGGAAATACCTCAATGCAACTTTCATTGTGTATTAAACTTCAATAATCTGGAATGATGTAACCGCTCATTTCCGAAAGTGTGCCAACAAGGGTGCGCAACCGTCTAGCTGAGATAGGATTATTTCGCGGGGGATGATTGTAAGGATTGGAACTGATGCGGGTACACTGATGGCAGACGATTATCCGAGTATGCCAGGAAGCATTAGCAGTTTTGAAAGGAGTAGAATTTATTCTGTTAGCAATAAATAGAAGGTACATACGACCACAGGGTGTGGAAAACAGGGCTTCCCGTCCGCTCAGCCGTACTTAAGCCACACGCCGGGAGGTTAGTAGTTGGGTGGGTGACCACCAGCGAATCCCTTCTGTTGTATGTATTTTTGCATTTCTACTGATTCTTTCATATTTCATCTACTTAACATGTGCATTTCCTGTTGATCCCTATCTATATCCTACTTGATTGCTTTGGGGTATCTCTCCTTAGAAGGATACGGCAATCTTGCTTTGAGCAACACCATTCACATTGTTCTTGCCATGGACTCTTGTCAAATAATCAGGGAAAGTGCCATCTCTATTTCGCAAAGAAAATGAATGTTAACCTCCTTGAATTCATGAGATCGAGAATATGGATGTGCATGTGACTCCCCATACCCATTCCGACAATCAAACCAGTCGGACCATGATCGATGGAAATTAGTACCTTGATCTCCCGCATCTTCCTCAAAATAGCCTTGGACTGCGCTTGCGGGGAGAAAGTCCTGATGAACTCTGTTCTTGCAGTACTCAGGGTCATGTCTTCTGGGAGTCATAAGAGAGAGTTACTTGCGTCTTTCTCTTCGTGCGAAGAGCGTAGTCCAGGAGCGGTCGCAGTCTGCCACATTTCTTGCCATTCAAACCGGCATTCTCATGAAGTTTGGCCCGAGCATATTGCACCAGATGCTACTGAATAACGAGCTAGGAAATTGCAGTTGTCCCTTTATATGAATATCTGTGGAGATACGCTCGCTGGCGGGTTTCGGTATGAGAGTACTATATCTCTTTTAATTCAATATTTCTTGCGGTATATATTAACATGATTACACAATGCGTACTCGGAATACCGAAACAATTGTCAAATATTATACGGTATCAGCAAACAGAAATGCTAAAGAATCAGTAAGATAGCTCTTAAATTGATAGACTATATTGATTTCCTTTCATTGTCATTATTTCTGCTGCCTATCAAAAAGGAAGGAATACTACTAATCCGCCAGATTTGCCTGGAAAATTTTGATTTACTAATATAGTTTAACCTTGTCTTACATACTGGTAGCAGCTGAACTCTATCTTCGTTTAGCTAATTTGATTTGAAGTCAAGTCTCTGAAATCATATCAATAAACACCGAATCTTATATAGGCCAAAAGCTATAGATCCACTGCCGCCATTCAGACTTTTATAGCAAGAATTATGGGGGGATCTCGTATTATTCCTTCAACTCAAAATTTCTTAAAGACCCGATTCAACTGTGTTTTTAGGAAGATACTAGGCATTTGGAAACAATGGTACGAATGACACGAGAGTAGCTAAATCGGATGGCGATGAAGGGAGTAACTTATATACTGCCCTCGCGAAATCTTTTTGTCTGTCATATAAATTTACATTCTATAAGCCACTTGATAGTAAAGACGTAAGCTATGATGTATTCATATCACCATAGTGCCCCTACTGCTACACATCGGTCCCGGTCCGAAAGTCCTGCCGTCAGATCTTCTTTGTTTAGAGCAAGGGAAACATAGCTGTAGAAATTGAGAGATATTCAAAGTATATGTTGGTAGCCCCCTAGAGAACTGAAACGACGTCCACGATGCGAAGCTCTTTCACGTGGATTTCCGGTGCCAAGTGGTCTTACTTAATAGCTCGTGCGGAAGTCTAACAACAGCCTATCAACGATCGGAAAATGCCGACACAGAGCTTCCGAATGACTCACATGCTTTAATGTCTTAGAATACCCGCACATAAACAAGGTTTGATAGAAATAATCTCGGGAGATTCGGGCCTCAAAACAGATCCTTCTCTGGAAATACTAAGCGTCCCTACGAAGTATTTTGAGGCCCCATCTGGCGTAAGCCACCGCCCACGGAAACTGTATCATTCCAGGATATTTGTTAGGTGCCAGCACTTGCGAGATGTCCTCAGAGTACGACGTTCTTGTCACTGGCTCAGCTGGCCATCTGGGCACGGCTCTATTGCTTTGCCTACCTTCGATGGGCTACAAACCTCTGGGGATCGATATCCTCTCCTCTTCAACTACGACAGTCGTGGGGTCAGTCTGCGATCGCACTTTCATTGCATCCATCTTCGGCGAAAATCCCATTAAGCATGTGCTTCATACAGCGACATTGCATAAGCCGCACATATGCAGTCATACCAAGGAGGAATTCATTTCAACCAACATTGCGGGCACTCTGACCCTTCTTGAAGAATCTTCCAAGTTCAAGGATAGGATTGAGAGTTTTGTTTTCTTTAGTACAACCAGCGCCTTTGGTACGGCTCTAAACCCGAAGCCCGGCTTCCCCGCCGCTTGGATCGATGAGTCTGTCGTACCCCAACCAAAGAATATCTATGGCGTAACAAAAGTCGCAGCCGAGGATATGTGCGCGCTGGTACAAAAGGAAAGCGGAATGCCCGTTCTAGTTCTGCGAACAAGTCGCTTTTTTCCAGAGGAAGACGATGATGAAGACCGTCGTACGGCCATGAGTGATGAAAACTTGAAGGTTCTGGAACTAGCCTACCGCAGATGCGACATTGAAGATATTGTCAGTGCATCAATCTGCTCAATGAAAAAGGCCAAGGATATCCGCTGGGGAAAGTATATCATAAGCGCTCCACCGCCTTTCAATAATAATGAAAGCACGCTCGATGCGTTAAATCGAAATCCTGCTGAGGTGGTTGCGAAAGCCTTCCCCGAAGTCGACGCTATTTTCAAGCAAAAAGGGTGGAAGCAACTTGCGAGGATCGATCGGGTCTATGATTCCAGCAAGGCTGTGAGAGAGCTAGGGTGGCATCCGAAATATACCTTTGGAAAAACCTTGGAGAGGTTAGCGCGTGGCGAGCAGTGGAGGAGTGATCTGACTGCTAGGGTGGGTAAGAAAGGATATCACGCCGTGAGCACCGGAGTATATACCAAGAGATGATAAGAGTCAAAATACAAGATTTATGCGGTAATTTTGCTAGTGGCTCATGATTTTTCAGAGCACGTAGAAGGTATATGCAGCAAGACTGCTTGATTGAGGGTAGTAGTTCCCGAAGGACGTCAGATAGACAGCGAGCCACTTTATTCACCATGCTTGTGAGGAAATAGCGGACGGGCTGAACCACCCAGGTCCTGCAGACTTGTTCAATAAACAGCTCAAATGACTCTAGATACATGCCATAGACACCGGGCAGCGATATTAGCTGGGGGTTACCACAGAGGCAGAGGCAGGTATCCATGCTTATCAGCACACAAGGCGGCAAAACGCCATGCGACGTCATCGTATGCAAAATATTGACAGCAAGCGTGGATAGCCAAAACCAAACAGACAGACAACTATAAAAAGCTTCATCAGTCACCGGCGAATTCGGCGAAGAGGAAACATAGCTGACATACTATTGGGCGAAAGGCTGATTATCGGATCACCCGGAATCCTTCGAAGGGGGCAGTGCGCAGACTGACAGAAGCAGGACAAAATCTATATACATATTGACTCTCAGATATAGATACAAAGTAAGCTGATCATATGTAAGGCAGTTAGCGCTAAGCTACGATCGGCAATAAAACGCAGAAATAAGCAGTGGCACCGAATGAGGTTATTTTAGGCGTTCCGCTTACCGAGACATTCTTCGTAAGCTTTTGATGGACAAACTTAGGACAAGCTTTCAATGCTTCCATTGTGATTATTATTGGGGTTGTCGAATAGTTTGAAATTGGCTGATCGTGCTCAGATAACGACATGGCTACGCCCAAGTCACTCGTTGGGCTATATAAACCTGCTTGGGATAATGACAATCTAACATGACAGAGCAGCATATTTCGCAAGTACATTACATAGTATATACTTTGGCTGAGAATTAGGCCTAACTCTACTATATGACCTGTACTAATGAAAGCGTAAGAACTATTTCATACGTGTGGTCAAGTTCGTTTGCTGAACAGTGATCGTGCAGAATCAAATTCCAGACATCAGCCCTAATACACCTACTCGGCAATGAGGCTGTGATAACATACCACCTTCTAAAATCCAACCTCGGGGCAGGAGTTCTTCTATACTTATCCGCCGCTTGCATTCGGCTACTACCACCACCGGATTTCTCAGCGTTCACTGTTGTCGCCAAAATCTTCTGCATCTCATTGAGCCACCAATACTGCTGGGACATCGTTAACCAGCTTACCTCGGTTGATGAAGACCGAATCAACAAGCCTAAAAGGCCCATCCCAGCCGGCCGTCTCACTGTAATAGGAGCCAAATGGAGATGGTTTATCAGTTGGACTATATCTCCTGCTATCTGCTACACCCTTCTTGGCGGCGAAGCCTTGGTCATATTTCTCTTGTCTGAAGCCTTGATTTACATATGCTACGTATGGCCCAGACTTGATCACTGGGCATCCCGCAATACCTTCCCAGCCCTTTGGACATTCCTCTCATTCCGCCTTTTGAACAGTGTCGTCTGCAAAACCTACCCACAACTATCAGCACAGCCAAAGGTGGATGTGATTCTCTCGCTATGGGTCCTCGGAACTATTCATATTCAGGAGTTTCATGATATCGATGGCGATCGGAAGATAAAGCGCAGAACACTTCCTGTGCTTTGTTCAAGTGCTTCTTCTATGAAGATGCTGAGGGGCATCACAGCTGGCCTGATTGCTGCTAGCGGGTTGGTTGTGGTCCTGTGGGGATGGATACAGTGCCTTGGGCCTTCCGACTTGCGGAGTTTTGGCCTGGTGATTACGGGAATATTCCATCTTCTCGGTGCGTTGGCGGTTGGTGTTCGTTGTGTTTTTGCGACGTCGGTGGGTATGGATGAGAGAACGTATAAAGTGTATTATATCTTGACAGCGTACTGGCTTGTGTACTTCTTATCGCTGGTCAATAAGTAAACCACCATGAGGGGAGTGGCAGGAAACATGTGATGAAAGAAGGGAAACAGCCGATATAGATAGAAGATATGTAGTAGTGTCCGGACTGATTTGCTTTTGCAATAAACCAGCATTTGCCCCCTTATTGATGATGATCTGAAGGCTACTGATTGCGATATCCAGAATGAGAGGGTGGAAGGGTAAATGAAGGGCCATAGTATAGATGAGGATCATAAGCTGATTCAAGGCATTGACATGGATATGGTTGGTTTTGACCATTCAAGAGACGTTTCACCTCCCATGTCACCCCCATTGTATGGGGATAGGATGAGCAGTTAGTTCCGGTAGATCCTTCCCGCCAGTCTCAATGCACTTATCGATATTTGCAGAACATGGCCTCCAAGTATTGAGTTAAGGCCAGGGGACATACGTAGGTGGATGACCGCCAGTCCTGCCCTACCCAACCATGCTGTTAGTCAGGAGTGCTAATGCGGGTAAAAAGCACTCTCTTACTTGGAGACTCTACACCTTCCTACATCCGCTTCTAATAAAAATCCTGTCTGTTCTGACCCTCATCATTTAGTCTCAAAAATCATCGAATACTGCTAAGTGGCTTCTCCTTCCCCGCACTGTAGCTTTCTAGCGACGGGTAGAACAAACTGGCCTCTCTGGGAGAAACAGCAACTAGACTAGCGGGTTGACTGCCGGCCATGTAGCCGAGGATATAGAGTTGCGCTACTGCCCCCCGCATGCGGATCCCAACCTTTATCAGTGGCCACGACTCCCGAGTGCACTGATATCGTATCCATGCGCCATCCAATCGTCGGCCTTTTCCGCTTATCGAACCCCTCTCCGTCGGCTTTGCGCTGATAACTCCTTCGACCTAATCCTCTCCGTCGCTTCTGTTCTCTCCTCCAAGATGCTTCGGTATCATGGCTGCTCCTGGTCGCGTATGCGCTCGGTGCGCAGTGATTGTAAGTCTTGACCTCTCCTTCGAGAATTGATCACCATGCTGACTTCGGATAGAAACAACGCTGTGATGGCGCATCGCCCTGCTCTCGTTGCGCACGTATGCTTGCACTTCTAGTTTCCTGGGTGCCAATATATGCTGACCAACTAGGTCTGGGCCACATCTGCGAGCCTCAAAAGCCCGGAAGACCTGCCTCTGAAGTCCCGTCGCTAGCTTATCGCCGACCTAGGGCTTCCCGATCGCGCGGTGGATGTACCTCATGCAAGGCGCGGTAAAGGACACCCATGAGATCCTCGATAATCACTACATTGCACTAGCTGACAGCCAATAGCAAGAAGAAGTGTGATGAAAGCCGACCTCGATGTAGCGACTGTCGTCGTTTAAACTTACCATGCCACTGGAATAATCCGAGGGAGAAGTCTTCGTCACCAGCCCTCGCCTCTCCGCAGCCGTCGCCTACGTCTTCCTCTTCCGAAATTGCTCACGAACCCATCCTATCTTCCGTTTCGGATCCAGTCTCAAAGATCGGTCCGATTTCTCCTTCCGAGAATCTGTTATCATCCGTCAGCGATGATCTGCTATCTCCATTCTCGCCCCTCTGGATTGATGTGGAGATGATCCTCGGACCCATTCAGTCTCCAGATGGCACATTTAATCCCCATCTCCACAATGACGACGATCGTAGTCTATTCAATCACTATGTACATATCGTGTCACGAGCACTATCACGTTCCACAACTACTGACTCCATGACCAACCCATTTCTAGCAACTCTGCTACCCATGGCCGCCGCATCGGAGACGCTAACTAGCGTCATACTGGGCCTTAGCGGCTGCCACTGGCGGCGCATCTATCCCCAAATTTGGGACCGTGCCCTAGCGCGTCAAGGAAAAGGTACATACTCGACAAAATTCCATAAAATCACAAAAGTCCTAACCATAACAGCCTTAGCACAAGTGAGCAACTTACTCCGTCGACCGAACCAAAACAGCCAATCATTCCTCGAGGCCTGTGCCACCATTCTCCTGCTCTGTCTCACAGAGCTATTCGAAGGCACCTCTCGCGTCTGGAAATGGCATCTCAAAGCGGCAGGGAACCTTCTTAGCACTGCAGCAGCTGCCACCGATCTGCACCGCCTGTCATCAACCCCAGAAGGAAACTTTTGTCTCCAACTCTTCCACTACCTCGACGCCATGTCCACCATATCCCGCTGCAAACCGCCGTTATTACGCGCAGGCGAGCGACTCACTGATCTCACCTCATCAACATCCTCGTCTTCCCTCCCAGTACCCCTCGGAGATAACTCCATTTCCGGGATCCCCCCACCCCTACTAGAATACCTCGGCCGGGTCAACCTCCTCGCCGCCCACCGCAGCCGACGCGTCGACGACCTCTCCGAGATCGGATTCCGAACAGCCGCTGCGCACGTACGCGCACAGCTCAATACCTGGCGAGTGGATTACGATGCGACCAGCACTGCTCTGGTAAACAGCGACGCGAACAGAGCAACAACAGCCTTCGAATGGGCGATCCGATTACGACTACATCAGATTGTGGACGGATATGATCCACGCCATGCAGACGTGGAGAATGCTCTCTCTCACATTTTGACAGCCGTGGTGGCGATTCCTTATGGTAGTCCTGTGGAGGGTAGTCTGCTGTTTCCGTTGGTGATTGCTGGCGCTAGTTGTAGGGATAGTGTGGAGCAGAGGATGATTGTTAAGGAGCGGTTGATGGTGATGGAGAATACGTTGGGGTTTGGACATATTTCGCATGCGAGACGGTTGCTGGAGACGGTGTGGGCTGATGAAGGCGGGGATGGGAATTGGGCGAGGATAAGGTATAGTTCGTTTCCTGGGGTGGTGTTTGTTTAGTATCGGTTAGTATGTAGTGCTTCTGTGGTGTAGCGTTGCGTGTATATAAATGTTGAGATTTGCTTTACTGAATAGTGGTCTATTTTCAATCTGTTGGTGATCAGTTCTTGCTGTTTTGGCTGGGGCTTTAGGAATTTCTTCTACAGGCAGGTTGTGTGTTGTCGTGATATAGTCCTCGACGACTGGGCAACAGGTAGTCATACAAACAATGGCGAAATTCCAATTGCTGCCATAATCATTGAATAATAAACATGAAAGTAACTTTTCATTATCGGCATGCACATTTAGCATTGAACCCAATTTCGTCGATATCAAGTCATTCGTAGCATTTTTCATTCCAACCGAAGCTACCCCCCTTAATGAACCAACCTAATACAAAGATATTGGGACTAGCCATAACAAGTTTCCTATCTCATCACATCTGATCATGTGATATTATCTTATCGGGACAATGCTATTATCTCGATTCCTCGTTCACCGGGGTGAGATCTTTCTTATCTTTACGCGCCACAATCACAGTTCCGCCCAAAACATCTGCTTAACACCCTTTCCACAACGTACAGCATGAATATCACACTCAATAAATCTGTTGCTTTGGTGATCGAAAGGTATAGATTTGTCGTATAGATTTGCGAATTCCTGCTCCGCGCTCGACTGAGCATTCGTCTGACCAGATAATTCGTAGAAAGTCTTCAGCAGCGTATTAAGCATATTGTTGGGCCCATCTCAATCTCTTTTCTGCGTGTTGAGAAGTGATTTCTGGCCGCTCACATTGTTTCCCTGCATGTGTAGAGTATGGAATAGACGTTGAACCGTTCTGATTGAAGGACTGCTCTGTACAGCAGTAGAAAGTTTACGCATTTTTATATGCTGATCTTGCTCAACTAAGTTCAATAACTGCTGCTGTTCTTCAGGAGTAATCTTTTTAGGTCGTCCGGAGCGAGGTGCAGTGTGTTGCTGCTTTCGAGTACTCTCACGCTTGATTGTAGTCTGTATAGTAGAATAAGGAATATGAGGATAGCGTTTATGAATCATAGTAAAGGTCCATCCAATTGCTTTCAACTCACAGAGTCTAGCACGGATCTCCGGGGTCAGCTCTTTGCGTGGTGGCATCTTTGTATGGCTTGCTTGCTTGCTTGCTTCAATATTCAGGGCTCCGTACGTGTTGTTTTGGTAGGCAGAATAGCTGTATTCTAACCTATTTAGGAAGGCGGAAGTGAAAGCAAGGTAGTGTGGAATGTGGGGCAACGCAAACTTTTGACATCCCACTGTAAGCCTCCACGGGTGCCTGCGTGGATTGATGGCCATTTTATTTGTTGGTATTTGTTCCCAATAGATTAATTCAGTGGAGATTTGGTCACATAACACAATATAGATATCGCGTAGGAGCTTTAATGATACTATGCCCTACGCTATATTTGTGATTGAGATACGTGACTTCGCGTCAGTACATTTCCACGAAAACCTTTTGCAAGAATTTCTATACTTCGTATAGCAGCATAAACAGCGTCATGTTGCTAATCAATGACAAGGAACTACTTATATACACACAGCCTCCTAAAAACCAGATCTACTATCTATTGGGACTTCAGCTCTTCCAAATGCGTTCGCATATTATACCCACACACCTCCTCGATAGTCAACTTCCCCGGTCGATCTGTCGACGAGCTCCATCCAATGCGCTCGCTCAGGTCCTCGCGTGCGCGAAAACTCGCCTCTTGGACTTTCGTGGCTCGTGGCTTCCGTAGCCGCTCGTACAGCTGTAGACCTTCTGCGACACTATACTCTTCCCGGAACGTGCGGTGGAAGATCAACCCTAACGCACCGGCATCCTCAAAGGCCATGCAGGAACCCTGCGACTGATCGGGCATCATGGGGTGGGCGGCATCACCAAGCAGGCATACTTTGCCTTTGGCCCAGTAGGGGTATGGTTGGTGACGGTACACTATCTATCATCAGCAGAGTGAATCAAACACAGGGTAAGGGATCATACAACGCCACATCTTAATATCCTCCGCATTCATCATCAACAGCTTCATGCGTTCATCCAGTCCCGGGAAAGTATCGACCAGCTGCTCCGGGGTAGCCGCGATATTCCAGCCATCGCCACGCAAATTGTTGTACTCTGCCGGATAGAAGCAGTAACAGCTTACAACTTCGCCGTTACTGCAAGGTGACATGACGATTTTGTTGATTCCAAATCCACCCCAGTATTCGATCGCCTCGTTGTCAATGTAGTCGTCTAGCCCGAGGCTGCGGAGTTTATCGGCGCTAATAATGCAACGATAGCAGCATGAAGTCGACATGGAGAATTCGGGGGTGATTCCCATTTCAAGTCGGCTTTGAGACTGTATTTTGTTCATGTTAATATAAAACTAAAGCTTATTGAATATTTAGGAAATGGGGAAGGGATAGTTACGCGAATACCATCCGCGGCGACGATAAGGTCTGCCGACGCCGTCTCTCCATTCTCGAACACAATGCGACCGGCCTCTGCGTCTAGCGACACGGCCTTGTGATTGACCTTCAATGTGCAGGGGGTGCCTTCGCCTGGCTCGTCAAAAGCAGATTTGAGTAATTGTTGGTGGATGTCAATGCGGTGGAAGTTGTTGTATTCCTGAGAATCGGCCACGTCAATCACAAATTGTAGAGTGAAGACTGAATCCCAGACTGACCGTTCCAAATTTGGCCTTGTAGTCCCCCAAGCCATATTCGTTCTGTATCGCCCCAGTCTCCCAATCATGCATGATAAGCTTCTTCAAGACCACCGGTTTCGCGGCCTTGACATCGACACCCCATTGCTCCAGGAACCGGGATCCATTGGAAGCTGCGCTCAAGGAAGCGCCCACTTCGCCAGCAAAATCGTATCTCTCGTAGACGGTGATTCGATGGCCTTGGCGACGTAAAGCCACGGCTGCGCTCAGGCCGCCTAGACCGGCGCCGATGATGACAATGTCGAGGGGAGAGTCGGTGCGCGAGGGCATTCTGTATGGTTTGACGAATCGACAATCAATGGGATTTTGGCTTTCTCTGTGTCTCGTTTTCATGTTCAAATATTTGTTTATATACCTATCCGGCGCTTTCCTATGGTCCATGTTGTTCTGACACACATCCGATCCACTTATCGTGCATCCGACGGGGCTCGTATCTATGCGACGGGTGCAGCAGTAGTGCAGCTTATCGCACTGATCGCCCCGGCCAGTGATAGGACATTGTAACCCTCACTCTGTACAGGGACAGCCTCTTTAAGACAGCACATCATGCCATTCCGCCGCTTCTCGACGGCCTTCTGCTGGAACATGCCATCCCTGCTGCACAAACACCATGTCTGATACTAAAGAGGAAAAGCTGGCCACTATCGACTATGGCCTTGGCGATCTGCACGATGATTCGGCACTGTTGTGTCGGATCGATTGGCGCATACTGCCGATTATGTTCTTAACGTACTTTTTGCAGTTCCTGGATAAGGTGGCCTTGAATGTATGTCCCGATATCCATCTAATGACTTGCACGGATGCCGATGCTGATGGTGATAGTACGCTAATGTCATGGGCATGCAAGACGATCTTGGAATGAAGGGCAATGACTTCTCCTGGCTGGCTACGGGATTCTTCATTGCTTATGCTGTGGCCGAGATCCCTCAGGGTATGTTCCATTCGTTCCTCCACCGTGCCCATATCACTGATCATTGAAAGGGTTCTTACTCCAACGATACCCCATCACCAAAGTCCTCGGATTCAACATCCTCTGCTGGGGGGTGCTCCTCTGCTGCTCTGCCGCAGCCCAGAATTTTGCCGGCATGATGTCTCTACGAGTGCTTCTTGGCACACTAGAAGCTGTGATCGGTGCGATTTATACTATCTATCTACTATGCCCATTGCTAATACTCCACATACAGCCCCCGCCCTAACCATGTACACAAGCATGTGGTACACCCGGGCCGAGTCCACCCCTCGCTATGGCCTCTGGTACTGCGGACTCGGCACCGGGCAGATCATCGGCGGATTAATATCCTTCGCGGCGCAGCATGCACCGGCATCGATGTCATTCCACGGCTGGCGGATCATGTTTGTAGTGATCGGAGCAGTAAACGTCCTCGTAGCGCTTCTCGTCCTGTTCGTTCTACCCGACACACTATCAGAAGCGCGGTTCCTGAGCACATCCGAGAAGGTTCGCGTGGAGGAGCGCCTCCGGCAAGACCAAGCTGGTGTGGGCGAGAAAATCTTTCGCGCGATATCGCTGCTCGAGGCATTTGCAGATCTCCAGACTGCGCTTTTGGTGCTTCTGACTATTCTCATCACTATACCCAGTGGAGTTATCACGACTTTCTCATCCATCCTGATCAAGGACTTTGGATATGACTCCAAGGAGAGTGCGCTGCTTAATATGCCCTCTGGGGTGGTTAGCATCGTTGCTACTATGGCGTCTACGATGGCCATTGCGCGGGGATATTCGCGCTGGCTGGCGATTAATGTTCTCCTGATTCCTACTCTGCTCGGGGCGTGTCTGATGTCTTTTCTGCCATCTTCGAATCAAGGGGGTTGTTTGGCTGGGATATACCTCGTAAACACGGTAGGTTGCTCCAGACGTGAAAAGAAGGTTATACACTGACTGTAATAGACTGTCGCACCGCTAGCATTGATTTTTGCGTGGACTGGTGCGAACTACAAGGGGTATACCATGAAGGTAAAAGAACCATACTAGTTTCAAATCAATACAAGCAGCAGCTAACATGAACTGCCACATAGGTAGCAGGAAGTACCCTCGTCTCGGCCGGTTTCAGCATCGCCAACATCATCGGGCCGCAGACGTTTCAATCCCGCGACGCTCCAGGGTATGCATATCCCTGAACTGCCACATTCAATATCCTTACTTATCTGAACAGGTACATTCCCGCCAAGATCACGATCGTCGCCGTCAACGCCGGCGCAATCATCATCTCCACCATGCTGCGGGTGGTCTACGGCCGTCGGAACGCGCGGGCTAACCGATTAGGTCGGGCAGCGGGGAGTCGCATGGAGGGACGGCTGCGGAGTGAGGGCCATGATGAGGGGGTAGCCAATTTTCGATATGTGTATTAGTTAGCAGTTTAGAACCGCTGAGTCTAATCTATGCGACGGCTCCACTCGAGTAGAAATTTCGATATACTACACAATGTATATAAACCACCTTAACCCATATCTATTACACCCAACCCTATCCATTATCCTCTACAGCTATTCACACTAAGACTACCATCGCCAAAATGCTAACTCTCATAACCGGCGCCAACGGCTTCATAGCAACGCATTGCATCGCCACACTCCTCCGCGCAGGCCACTCCATCCGAGGCACCGTGCGCAGCGCCGAAAAAGCCACGGCGACGCTTTCCGCCCTCAACGCCGCAGGAATCCCCCACCTTGAGACATCCCTGGACCTCGTGGTCGTTCCCGACCCCACAGACCTAACGCAGTTTCTCCCCGCAGCGGCAGGCTGTGACGCTATTCTGCACCTCGCGTCGGCATTTACCTATGATGCGGAGCCGGGTCAGTTCGAGGAGCGATTGCTTCGTCCGGCAATACAGGGGACGAGTGTTGCGTGTGAGGCTGCGCATCAGTGTGAGAGTGTGAAGAAGTTGGTGATAATGTCGTCGTTTGCGGCGGTTTATGATGCGGCGTTGGGATTGCAGCCTGGGAAGGCTTATACGGAGAAGGATTGGAGTCCGTTGGGTTTTGAGGAGGGGAAGAATACTGATAATGTGGTGAGTTTGTGTTTCAATGTGATGGTGGTGGTTGTTGGTTGCTGACACGGGGGTGAATGTAGGCTGTGGCATACCGCGCGTCCAAGGTCCTAGCGGAACGGACGGCGTGGACATACATCAAGGAGAATGATGTGGACTTTCGACTTGTCACACTTTGTCCTGGGATGGTGTTCGGGAAGATGATTCATCTCATTTCATCGCTTGAGTATTTGAACGCCAGTAATAAGATTGTGTGGGAGGTAGCGAAGGGCGGGAGTGAAATCCCGCCGACAAAGGCACCTGGTAAGTAACTACTCCACATAAGCAACGTAGTAGGTCACCTAACTAACAAATTATTACTAGTCTGGGTGGATGTGCAAGATCTAGCAGAGACATGCCTGCGCGCGTTGACGGTCCATTTACCCTCCCATCAGCGGTTTCTCGTCACGGAGGGTCCGTACGATACGCAGGAGATCGCGGATGTGGTGAGAGAGGATATTCCTGCTGCTTCGAAACGGATTGCGGTTGGGAGTCCGGGGGCGAGAATCAGAGATACGCATTATACGTGCGATTCGGGCGAGGTGAAGAGGATGTTGGGGGTGCGGTTTCGGGGGTTGAGGGAGTCGATTGTTCCTTTGGTGGAGCAGTTGTATGCTATGGAAGAGGGAGAGAGGAGAGATGGTCTGTCTGCTGCGGTACTTTAAATAGCACTATATATCTAGAATCACTCCTCTAAAAATGGGACATTCTTTACCTCCATGCGTCTTAATCGAGCAACGGCCTCTCATCGTCCCACGATAACGCTTCTACGATGCATAAGTTATTCGACTTCGCCAAGCTTACGAGCATTCTGCATGAGCCCTCTATATGCTATAATATGGTTCATACCTACTTCATTGGGTTTCACTGGGCATAGTCATTTAGTATAATTCATTCCCTCTTAGAGAATATAGCCTGGCTTCAAGACTTGAGACGTGGGGTATCGTGCAAAATAAACGGATTTATTAATGCTTCGCTGTAGTACTATCATATAAGACGACCGTGTAAATAAAATAAACATTGGGTATCAATAGTACTATAAATCTTCACTCCTCTACATCAATTCTCCTGCGCGTTGCTGATGCTTGGCTCCCAACTTCCTTGAGTACAAAGCAGTCATCTCGTGTGAAATTCTTGGGGATTGATGCTAGAGTCACTCATCAATATAGTAGGCCCATCTCTGGCCATGGAGATCCGGGAGACGAAGGCTCAGAGTTGGAATCGGAATCAGATGCAGTTGACTGCTCCGCTGAATTCGTGGTAGTGCTGTCGTCAGGATCAGTCTCCGATTCAGTTTCTGAGTATTCCGGCTCTGAAGGATAGTCTTCTTCGAAGGGCCACTCTGACATTGAGTCGTAGTTGGGAGCTTCGGTGCGGTCAGACCTCCTTCGTTTTTCAGGTCGTCCCGAGTTATTGTTGCTTTGTGCGCTGGTGAACTCGGTTGAGTCAGGCGGCAGAGATCGCTTGGCCAGACTGGGCTTGACCTGGCCCTCAGCCGGGGGAACCGGGGCTGCCTCTGCTTTTGTCATGGGGTAAAAAAAGTTCTTGTGTTTCTGTAGTTTCCTGACCTTCTTCACAGCAAGCTTCCGCAATCTGCAGACTTTACTATCGGCAGGGTGTAGACCACAGCAATTGGCGCAGCGATAACATTGTGGCCTCGGGCAGTATCTCTCACGGTGTTTGTGCGAGCAGTATCGACAGCGGGTGGGCAAAGTGCACTGACGTTTTAAATGTCCGAACCCCTGGCATTGGGTGCACTGAAGAAACTGATGGTAAATAGCAAATTTTTCCGCTTTGAATCGACAACCGTTCAGATCAAGCTCCCCAATCTGTAATATTGCATTTGCATCTTCCGGCCGGTCAAAACTGACAAGCAACGCGTTTCTAAAAGTTGGGTTTCTCGAGACGGAGCCATCCCCGGCCCATACGTAGGGTATGTATGCCTTGGACACTCGTGGATTCTGAAGCTTAATCTGTCGCGCAGCATCCGTTCGGGGAAGCAGTAACACGGAACACGGTACACCAAAATAGAACCAACGGCTATCGATAACACGTGCCCATTTCCCTCCCGGGAGGTCCGTTATCCACTTGTCACTATATGCCACAAGCACATCGGCGCCCTCGCGGCTCGATGTGTAGACGTTCATGTCACCCGTTGGAAGCATTTGGATGCGGGAAATTTGGACATTTAGCCCCGCATCGTAAACCAGACTCTGCACCTGTTCAATCGCGATCGGGATGGGTCCGTTCAGATAGGACGGCAATTCGTCCCAGTGAACGCGGACCCGTTTATGATTGTCGGGGAAACTTAACTCGTGGAAGAATTGTGGTACTGGAGGCCAATCTCCAGCGCTGCTGTCGGTGGACGGTGATTTGGGCGACGAAGATGAAGACTGGTTAGAGATATCGTCGAGAGGTGTGATCGGGGCGGTACCACTGGCAGGCAAAGTCTCCGTCTTCGCTTCCAGACGCGCATTCATAGCCTTTTCCATCTTCATGTTTTTATTTAGAGCTAAGTCGCCATTTTCCCGACTGACCTTACAAGCCGTCGACAGGTCTGAAATTGCTTTGAACGCTGCTATCGCCAACTCTTTAACTGCTGATGCTTGCAGAAACGACTGGGGGTTTGCCATGGCGTGAGCTGCCATGTCCAGGCAGTGCATGCGAATGTAATTTATTTCATTGGAACTATCATAGTAGTACGCATCTGGCAGTACAGGCCAATTATTTCCAGCCATTTTGAATTATGGAGCTTCAACGTGTTGGTATTTGCGTGAAATGCGTTGGATTACAGAGATTGGTAGAAAGCGACGGGATAAGAGGGGGGAAGTTAACCAACTTGAACGCGTCGGGTGCAATTCATAGTAACGCGTCTGGAGATCAAGAAAGGGATCTGCATGCAAATCCCCTACATTAATAGTACGGAGTGCACTCCCAGTCAGGGGCACAGAGGCCATGATTGGTGGGTCCCGTGCTAGGAGCTTAGTACTAGTAGTGTGAAAGCTTAAGCCGGCATGTTTGATGAAAGACACATCAGATCCAGATGTGATACATCCTGTCACAAGTTAGCGGTCGGCAATATGGATTTTACATGTCGGAGTGGTTCTCAGTGGCTGAGGATGAGAGCCACCATCTTGACTCCGTACTATTCACTCGTAACGCTGTTAATTGGAGAAGAACGCAAGGATGCGACCGCGTTATTATCTTTGATCCCGGTTCAAGGGATGCGTCGAGACAATTGTAATGTAAGGACGGCGCCAAATGGTGATGACCCGGCGCTAGTACTTCCCTAAGTGACGAGTCATTTAGCAGCTGAAGTCTTTTACTTTCAAGAGACATTTATTGTTGAGGCTATTCAGACATTTAACCTCCTACTATCTATCTCTAGCATGCCCAGGACTTCGAGCGAAACCGCTACTGAACTTTCTCCGCCTGCCAAAGCATCTCTACCCTATACCCCTACCTAGGCATTCCTACCAGTAACCCTCTTTTATCATGCCTGCCACCGGCTATTAGAGTTGTACGGGCCCTATCTTGACCCTTCGGACACATGGCATCCCTACTTAGGAGATCCCTATTGATATATTTGACCCTCTTGCGTATTATCCACAGGAATTTGTCAAGCGAGCGAAAGAGCGGGAAGATAATCCGCAGGTAGATTTCCGCATTTGAAGGGAATATATAGAGGATGGCAAACGATCCGGTCGTCCCAAGGAAAGTCCTATTCAACTGGATGTAGGCAGTAAACATACAAACGATGTGTCTGATACGCAGTTGAGAGAACTCAACTTGATCAAGTCTACCTCTCTTTCGGGCGCTACCGTCAATGACTCGGGCACGTTGATTGTCCTGCCCGGCTCTCTCGGGAAACAACCTCGTCTTATCATGAAGTCTAATAGATGTTCTCCGTTTGTGCTCCTCCTTCTGGGCCCCTCACATGTCGAAACAGGGACTGACACTCCACAGTTGTCGAGGTGATCCGCAAACTAAAGGCTATCATGACCTTGTTTCTGCTACTATGAGCCCGTCCATCAGCTTTGTCGGCCAGGTTCGTCGTGATATTGTGATGCATGGAAGCGACGGCAAGCATGTAATGTTCTTCGTTGACCTGAACGTGTATTCGGGGAACTTTCATGATTGTCCTGCAGAGTACACCCACTTTAACATCGCGGTTGACATGCCGCCTGGTCCTCGCTGGCAGAACTTCTGGATCGCACGACTCACCGGTACGGTGTTTGTATCCGGGGAGATGGTCGGTTACTACAAGTATTGTGGAACATTCATTCCGTGTGTGATGCTTTAGACTATATCTCTCATGACTCCTTCGATTCGCGAGGATACGCGGCTTTTACCTAGAAAGAGACGTGCTCTCGGTGAGCCGTACATGATACATTACAGCATTCCTACCTCTACCGCCGACGACACTGCCTTCTCAGAGGTATGGCCATCAACGCCGAAAACACCTTTCATTGCCACGGATACTAACTGCAAAATGCAGCCACCCTCCCAGTCCGTCTCTACACTCGTTCCTCAGTCACCCTCACCTGGGGCGCCTGATTTACCGGGTTCGCCCTCAACAGATGAAGAGAGCGACGAAGGGGACGAAGGTGAAGATGGCGAAGATGGCGAAGATGGCGAAGATGGCGAAGATGACGAAGATGACGAAGATGAAGAGAAAGAGTAAAAGGTTAAAAGAGCAGTAGGAGGAGAAGGAAGAGAAGTTGAAGAATGAAAAGAGGATGAGAGAGAATGAGAATGAGAACATGGAATACATGGAGAACACAGAAGATTAACTGGAACAACAAGTGACTAAGTGCATTTTGTCACAGCGACTAGCCTGAGCCGAGCGCAGTGAGGAGAGGAACTAGTTGAAGCGCAGGGCATCCTCCAGTTAACTATAACGGGGCCAATATGTTGTAGATTCTGTTTTTGATACCTTCTGGCGTTGCCATACTCTTTTGCTGTATTTTTAGTGCAAGCACATTATCGCGAGATGATTCTACACTTGCGGTGTGGTATACGAGGATCTCTAGGGACGTTCCATACGTCTTGCCAGAGTTATGGCGCTTGCAGCGTTTCCCTTTCAATTTTTGTGGCACGCACCTATCGTTTACGACTGAAGGATTCAAACGATTTTCATCTCCGGTTTCATAGGAGACGTCAAGCAGATTGCTCTCTTGACTGATTCTTTCTTCTTCTTCTTCTTCTTCTTCCCTTCGTGACGGGGTATGAATCGCTAGCCCGATCCCCCGTTCCTGAGTATTGAGATAATTCTATTCCACAGCTCTGGGGAACGTGACCATGCTTCCAGAGTCTTGTTTTAAAGTTCATTGAGCTGTATTGATGCGCAACATGGAACTTAACGGAGTGTTCGGTCTTGTTCGGGTTGATTACATATAAAGTACTAGTGGTCAGAGCAGATAGAAGCTACAGTCCGAAGACATGCAGCGAGGGTTCAGCATGGGTTTCAGGCGCAACACGGTACCTCAAGTGTGGTGCAGAATCTGACACTTCTGACTTCTCGCCATGCGGAATCGGAGCTGGGACATCTTTTCAAGGGTGTGAGTCCGAGAGTAAAAAGATACAATGCTTTGTGCAGGTCAGGACTGCTATGCCATATATGTATTAAACTGTCAGCCGGCTTTTCAACGAGTAGTCTCGGTGGCGCAATTGGTAAGCTTGCCCTTCATCAAATTCATCCAATCAATCAGTTACTAATTCCTCAATAAAGGTTAGCGCGTACGACTGTTAATCGTGAGGTTGAGAGTTCGATCCTCTCCCGGGACGCATCTTTTTTGCTTTTTCTTTTTGGTTCCCGCTTCTTCTTCACCGCACCACACAATCTTGGAGCCGTGGCGTGCATTGGCTTGTCAGAGCCGTTACTTGGTGGGCTAGGCAAAACCTTTTTGCCTACAAAGGTCCGAAATTACACCATTCCAACTGTTCTTTGTTGGGTTGGGCACTCCCGAGTCAGCCACAACCGCCCCAGTCCAATCGCTTTATTGTCCGTCAAGGTTGGCAGTTCGTGTTGAAGTGGATGAAACAACCTGATGAGCCTAATTTATGGTGGAAGGTCAGATTCGAAGGAGGATCACTCCTGGTCCCATTCCGTGAGAATAAAACACCCTTGATAGTTAGTGCTCAGTGGCCCACAATAGATACTTCGGATCCTCATCCAACGCATGGGGAAATTGCAGGAGCCATCCATATCCATTCTGAACCGAACAAACAATCCTGCTCATGACCGAGCCACTATTCTGTAGTAGTCCTAGTCATTAACGTCTCGGTCATGAACCACCTGCCTCGAGTCTTTCTGGAATTCCGGAGCAGAACATGTTCCTGACCTGAGCAGACCACGTGTCCAGAACACCAGCCCTTGCAAAGTCTCATCTCAAGATCAGTTTCCCTGAGCTCAATGGCCCCCACTGTTTGCTTGTCACAGCATACAGGGCGGGTGCAATGGTCAAGTCTCAAGAGATCCTCGACATCCTTTGAACAGATGGTCCGGCGAAATTGGGAAAGCCTTACGCCCCGACGGTCAAGCGCGTAAATCCGGGCGTTTATTGTTGACGGCAAGGGGTCAGTCATTCAGCAGCCGAACTCTATCTCCATCACCACCGCTGCAAATCTCACCTCATCCCTTCGCTGTCTTCACATGTCAGTCCGTCTGTCAAGGAAGCTCATCGGAGACCGTCGTCCATCCGACCAGCCGATAAGGCTGCAGTTCTATGCTAGGTAACATGCAACAACGCAGTCGATGTCCACATGCTATCTAGTTCTTGTAGTCGCAGGATCCACGCCCCTGTACGATTATGCATCAAACTAACCCTGTCACCTGTCTGACTACCGAGCTCCTGCAGGCACGCTAGCTGGTTATCCGAAATCACACCCACTTCTTCACCCGAACTAAGCTTTTAACCTCCTATTTACGGCCCCTTCTCTGTTTAAACCTAGTTTCATTTGTACCCCTATTTTGATTGGCGGAAGCAGACGGATCAATATATGGCCCCCGCTTGTTAAGCCCAACTCAGCCAGGCGCAGGTGGGGTTGAATACAGAGTAGCGGTAGGGGCTTTCTAGAAACACTGCGGGTCGTGGACTTTTTACGTCCAGTTTTGTCCGGCACACGCGGCCGAGCGCATGGCGGCACTCTGCAAATGTCTGTTCTCTCCCTGCGTGACTGAGAGCCAGAGGGCCATTGGTTCCTTAGCCCCTTGCAGCCTGACATGCCAGCACGGATTCCTCACGACCATGGCACGCCCCGGGCCAGACATGCCTGTTGATTGGCTGTTTATAGAGCACATGGGGGCTAAATCCTGGCTTTTCCTTTCGCAGCGCCAGGAGCTTTAGTCACAATTGCTTTTGTTTGCGACTCTCCTATCACCAGTCGGTGTACCGAGTCTAATTCATTTCGAATACCCTCTCGGAGACGTTGGTGACAACGATGGGCCGTTGGCAGCCGTCGGATCCCCAGTTCATTTGATCTATAAAGGGGGCCACGCCACCGTAGGTAAATCTTTAGAAAGTCGCAGATCTTTCCCAAGAGTATCAAGCGCTGTACTACCTGGCTCTCAAGATGTTCTTCCGCAGGGAATTCGGGGCTGTCGCAGCCCTATCTGTTCTGGCCTATGCTGCTCCCGCACCTGCTCCGATGCAGCGTAGAGGTAACACTCTCCAATACATCTTGTGAACCGTGAACCCACTAACCTTGCTCAGACATCTCCTCTACCGTCTTGGACAACATCGACCTCTTCGCCCAATACAGTGCAGCAGCTTACTGCTCCTCAAACATCGAGTCCACCGGCACGACTCTGACCTGCGATGTAGGCAACTGCCCTCTCGTCGAGGCAGCTGGTGCCACGACTATTGATGAATTTGACGAGTAAGCCAAGTTACATCAGCGTCTCTTGCCTAGTTGTCATCCGCTCACACCCCCCTAGCAGCAGCAGCTATGGCGACCCGACTGGGTTCATCGCCGTTGACCCGACAAACGAGTTAATCGTTCTGGCTCTCCGGGGTAGTTCCGACATCTCCAACTGGATTGCCGACTTGGACTTCGGCCTCACCTCTGTAAGCAGCATCTGTGACGGCTGCGAGATGCACAAGGGCTTCTACGAGGCCTGGGAAGTCATCGCCGACACCATCACATCCAAGGTGGAGGCTGCTGTCTCCAGCTATCCGGACTACTCCATCGTGTTCACTGGACACAGCTACGGCGCTGCATTGGCGGCCATTGCGGCCACTGTGCTCCGCAACGCCGGATACACTCTTGACCTGGTAGCCTACCCCCACAACACTCTATTTATCTCCCGTTCCCTTCATTTTCAGAATAGTCATCTAACATAATGGACAGTACAACTTCGGCCAACCTCGTATCGGCAACCTCGCCTTAGCCGACTACATCACGGACCAAAACATGGGCAGCAACTACCGCGTCACCCACACCGACGACATCGTGCCCAAGCTTCCTCCCAAGCTGCTGGGCTACCACCACTTCAGCCCGGAGTACTGGATCACCAGCGGCAATGATGTGACGGTGACTACGTCGGACGTGACTGAAGTTGTGGGGGTGGATTCGACGGACGGGAATGACGGCACCCTGCTTGACAGTACGACAGCTCATAGATGGTATACGATCTACATTAGTGAATGCTCGTAGAGCATTACTGGCGCAGTACAGTGGCAATGTGGACTGGATATAGTTAAGACGGAATGAATTTGTACATAGTTTTTATATAGTAACCGGCAAAGTACATATGCTAGCCTGATCATGAAACTGTTCGTGAGGCATTTTCTGACGTGTGTGAGTCTTGAAGAGTGTGGCTAATGAGGGTGAGAGCAGCAGTAGCACCGAAAAATCCCCGACCCGTCCATCCATCCCACTCCAACTTCAAGTTCAGTTTGAACTGATTAGATTAAATTTCCTTCTCCCCCACTGATAATCCCAAGAACGTTTTCTACTGACCGGGACAGTCTCTGCACGGCTCGTTCCACCATGCCGTGGCGTAATAAAATCACGTAAAACTCACCACCACGGGAAAAGCACGTCCTTGTCAACCACGAATCAACTCATCTACTTGAATCACGCGGGATATATAGATAACTCTTTACGGTAGTATTTTAAGCAATTTTACTACCAGGAGCTTGGCCAACCTTAGCCCGATTAGAAGCGGAGTAGTTAGTTACTTATCAAGTTGATTAGATTATTAGCGTAACGGTTGCCAAGGTCGTAAGTACGTACGTAGGGTAGTTACCACCACCCCAAGGAAAACAGTTTCCCCACCACCAGCACCACCTTTTCTGACGTGATTGTCCTATACTACAATATGTATCACTAGTTAGTTATCGGGCATACTATCTCCGCTTACTGTACTTCACATGCGAAAGAGGGGTATTTGCGACCGGGGAAACTAATTGGGGAATCAATGTCCGGGATATCCGACGGAGATCTGCGCTCTGCTTGCTCTGTTTTGGGTTGGGGCAGGGGGATATGAGAGGGTGGAGGTGAGTTCATTCATGGCTTCACATGTTTCTGATATTATCTCGGGTTGCTCGTTGATAAGGCAATATGCAGAAGGATAACTAACATGCGTTTCACGGTGTGGAGGTATGTGTGATGGGATAGTAGTTAATCCTGCCCTAACTAAAAGAGCAGCTGCTCCGAGCTTTGCTCGCTCCACCGAAAGCTACTATTGCTTAGTTGGTTAGTGAGTGGATTTGTCTGATAAGGTAGGGAAGTACTAGTAGTATAGTACTATCATTCTCGATGAACTGATCGTGTTGTCTCATTCTGATCATATTCTGTCTCTATAAGGAAAATTGTTTCTGACTTGCATTAGAGATACCTTTTATACAGCACAGTGCTTGGTCTAGATGGCCTTTGTCATGTGGTGGTGCACATGGGAATATAATGGATTCATTTCTTCTTTTCTCTCACTACGGTGTACCAAAGTAGCTCCCGGGTTAAGAAAGGTGCGGAAAGGTGAAGGATACCATTCAATGCAAATTTGGTCAATGGGTAGTATTGGGTATCTATTTGTGATTCTTCCCTGGACCTAGGTAGGACAGCTTCTGAGACATATATCATTGTGTTGTGGTAGTACTAATGTCAGAACTCAGCATGAACAGTTCACTATCATGTCCAGCCTAGATTCCACAAGGGGAGTTACGTTGTGATCTCTACCTCTCGACTCAATCGCCAATATTCCACCCTAATGGCTATCCTCGGCACATGCCGTAGTACCACATCTACTCATCCAAACACTCATACTCATCCAATTCCAAATCATCTGTCACCAGCTCATCCGCCAAACTCAACTTCCCACAAACAACCCCCCTCAGGAACGCCTTAGCAACGACGTTCGCCCCGGCCGCACTGGTATGCGTATGATCGATCGGAAAATACGCATCCACGGTATCCGCCCCCAACGCCTCATACACCTGATCCGTGTAATCAAAATGATTCACGTACGACGTGTCCGCCGTATCTGCGGCGATTTCCGCGTACCCGACGAACCGTGGCGGGTCATTCACGAAAGTGCCCGTTTCCCACGGGTTATTGGGCGTCTGCGAGGAGATGATGACGGTTGCACCGATCTTTTTAAACGTGTTGGAGGCGTTCTCAATGTACGCGGGGAAGGTGAGGATGGTTTCGTTGACGCCATCGTATTCCGAGTAGCATACTTCGGAGCCTGTGCCGGAACAGTCGGTGCGGCCGTTGTCGCTGGTTGAGCTGAGCGTGCCACCGTCATTGTGGCCGAACTCGATGATCACATAGTCGCCCGCTTCCAGTGTGCTGGCGATGTCGTCGAAGCGGCCTTCGCGCGTGTAGGACCGAGCGCTGCGCCCGGCTACGGCTTGGTTGGAGACGGTGATGCCGCTTGAGCTGCTCAGGTATTGGGCGACGTAGTCACCCCAGCCTGATTGATTGTTAGTTGAAAGAAGCGGTGATGGGTAGGAGGGAGGTACCAGCTGTGTCGGAGCCACCACCACCGCTGGCCATGGTAGAGTCCCCCGCCAGGTAGATGGTTGTGGCGAGGGAGGCTGGAAGAAAAGTCAAGATTGGGAGGCTGGAGACCTTCATCGTGGTTGGATATCCGATAGACTAAAGTGGGTGATTGAGTTTGTCTGAAGATCACAGAGCTTGCAGAGTAGGGTTGATATGAAGCGCCAGCGCTTGACGAGCGCATCCATCCATACGTGGAAAAAAAGTGTAACATCGGGCTTTGATGCACCGAGACTTGTCCGAGTCATCCCGTCTGCAGCAGCCATGAAAACGGAGCTGAAGTGGTATGTCCGTGATCTGCAGGGACGAGATCGACATGAGTTGAGTGATTGATTTAACTGCAGGATGCGGAGTGGGTGAGGGGAACTGGTCAGCTGGATCCCCGCGATCTGACACGCAGCAAAACCCGTCACATATTGTCCACATATATTGCTGCATCTGCGATTCCATAGGAAAATTTCCCTGTTCGGAGAAATCGTCAGGGTGCAAAGTGAATAGGCCGCTGGGCAACTGCTCTCGCAAGCGGGGCTCTATGTAGGTTGACATCATGCGTTGGCAAAGCCATGGAGAAAATTCAGCGAAGAGAGGAGGTTCTCATTAAGGTATAGAATCACGCAACACCAAATCCATGTGTTCAACACGCTAGCTCCTGGTCTATCGCTGGCAACGGGTGATCCCATTTTACGGCCCCCAAGAACGGCTCCGTAGCAGGGGCGTACCCCAGCACAGGGCACTGCTTTATCGCACGTGCGCCCAGAAAGTTGATCAGAAATCCTTCGACGACCTCCCACGACAGGATGTACCGCGATGCAAGGAAGTACAGCGTGTTGGCCCACGCATGCAACCGCGTTGTTCTCGCAGATTGTCCCGCATCCGAACGAACTGGCCCGGCGCGTTCTTCTTTATATTCGTCGAATATCTGACCGAGCGTGACAGCGTCTAGCGATCCACCCGCTGCGCTCTGCAGCGCCTTGTGCAAACCGTTGCACAGTACCACCACGTCCTTGATGCCATTATTGAAACCCAGTCCAGCGTTGGGGGTGTAATTATGGCATGCGTCTCCTGCGAGAACAATCCGTCCCCACCCCCAGTGCTGGAGAATGCCTTCCTCCAGATTGGCCATGCCCGAGTTGAACCGCTCCGTGTACACGTCGCTAACCTTCAAAGTATCGGTGATAGGGAAATCGGCAAACCGTGCCGCCATTGCCTCAATATCTTCCGTCGTGTAATCTACCCGATCGGATGTTGGCTGTGGCAAGCGCTCGTAAAGGAAGATCCATCCACGATCGCGCCCGGAGAGGTACATGACCGAATAGTCCTTGCTTTGGGTTTCAGTGGCTTGCCCGACGTCAGTCCTTCGGGGAAAACTGCACCACAAGCATTTGTACTCGGCTTTGAAGGGTTTTGTGGCATCCCAGCTCCGTGTGGGGTCCGTGGCCAGGGCAAGTTGGCGCATCAACTGCCGGGTTTTGCTGTGAACGCCGTCGGCTCCAAGGACCATAGATCCTTCGAATGAGGTCCCATCAGCGCAGGTGACTCGAACCCCGGAGTCGCTTGACTCGATATCGCTGACCTTTTTACTGAGTAGGTAATTTGCCTTGGCCTTGTCCGGAAGCAAATCGTACAGGGTCTGGATCAAGTGTGCGCGGTGAAACGCGACCGGGGCGATCCCATGACTGTTAGTGTCAGTATCCCGCCGATATCATCGAGCGATCTGTCAGATAGAGCGGAACGCAGTACGTACTTTTTCCGCATGATTTGGAAGGGGTTGGTGTTGCGGAATACCTGTCCCTCTCGTGTATACGCCTGGACCTGGCGAAGTTCCGCCCCAATGGCTAGCAACTGGTCGAGCAGACCTAGCTGGTGCATAATGCGCAGAGATGGGGCCTCAAGGACCAGACTGGCACCTTGATCGTGGAGTACCGAGTCTCGGCGTTCAAGGACGACAAAGTCGATGCCAGCGCGGGCGAGTGCATGCGCCGCAGTAAGGCCGACCGGGCCACCGCCCACGACAATAACCTTGAAAGGAGAGATGGACATTATAAAGCCAGAGGAAAAGAACCGATGTTTGTCTTGATTCATGGGGAGAAGTGGCCAGGAACGTGGACATCTGTGGAATTCATATACGGACTACCAGGATGTCGGATCGGCTCTCGTCAATTCCGGACACCCAGACATGGCTACGTAAGGTCCATCCGCTTGGTTTGGGAGATAGCGGCTGGTGCTGGAATACTAGGCATATGGGGAGCAGACAACCTAGAGTCATCCCGCGGGACCCGACCACCACTGCCTACCCGACCACCCCAACCAAACGCGTTCCGACCAATCCGACCCTGCTGCCGATTTGCACACAACACGTTTAATTTCTTTAAAAATCAAGCGTTCATCGATATATCATGTTAATTTATATGTAGAATGATGCTATTCAGAGTAAATATTAAAGATCAGGGTCTCTGAGCAGATTATACAAGAGATCCTGAGCAGAATACTGTATATGTGTGATAGAACGGGTCGGTAAACCGGTGACCGCAGCCAAAGGCATTGGAATGACATATTAAAGTGATCATGAGAGTCGTGAGGTCATTGATACAATGGTTCTATATTCTATTAATATCTAAAAGATATCAATTCCCCTGTAAGGGACTACTGATCCCTCAAGGATCAGTTTATTCCGTGGATATAAGCTATCTTTATTATTAATATCTAATTCCATTGTAATTAATAGTTAATTTCTTATCTAGTTAATAGACTTTCTATCTTAA